CCTCACTAGCAGTATCCTACCGGTTGTTGTGTAACTATATTCAGAACCTGTTATAATAACCGGGCGCCCGGATGTCTACGAGATCGCGTGCCTGTCTATTCATTCCTCATTCCATTGCATTCCTCGCAACTGCTCACATCCTTTGGAACCTGTGTGTGTGTGATCGCTGATCCGCTACTCTGAGCCTAATACATTGTGTGTGTGCTGACGTCACGTCTACATTCCTTCAACATTCCGTCAGAGAACCTTATTGTACAGTACTGTATAAGTTATGGGAGACTTGAACGCGCAGCGAATCTGCCTCACTCCTGGGGATCATGATCGCGAACGCGCGGAATGCCTCGCATCATCTGTCGGGATTTACTGTACTGTACTGTAGTATGGGGTACTTTTGTGCGGTACTTCGGAAGGATCAGAGTCATCGAGTCCGCGGGCGAACGTGGGTCGAAAATCATGATCATAATTCGGAGGGTTTTTTTGTTGAACAGGTTTGGAACGATCGTTGTACTTCGCACGCAGAACGAAGCGTGGAATACGTGTTTTCGGGTTCATTTCTGTGAATTGTAAAATGTGGTCTCTTGAAGTCGTGCAATTCAATGGTCTTCGTGCATTCGCAGGTACACCAGTGGCTTCGCGCGATATAGGATTAAGAACAGTACTTGTTCAGTCACCTGCAAGGATGATATGACTTATCCTTCGCAGCGGAGTCTGATGTCATGCGGCTGTTCTTAGCTTCATGCTGTTGACTTCCGATGTTAACACGCCTAAATATCTAAAAGATGGCGACGGAAGATGGACTCGAATCTTTGTTTGACGTATTGAAAGAAGTTCAACTGGAGCATTTTTTCGTTCGTATTCGCGATGATCTACAGGTAACTTTGTTGTTCCCCAAAGTTATCAAAGATTTGTGTCATGCGTTCGTTGAGATAAATCTTACGAGCAATTCACTTACAGATAACTGCGCTTTCCCATTTTGACAATGACCATGTTCGCATCGAGGACTTCGAAAAAATTGGAATGGGTCCTCCGGGAGCCCGGAGACTTATGGATGCTGTCAAGAAGAGGAGGTCAAAGTTGCAGAAAGAAGCGTTATTGAAGAAAATTATTCCGAAGAAAAATCTGACTCAGAAGTCTAGCATTCATGGGAAGAGTCGTTCCAGTTTTCATACTTCGTTGCCCGCTCCTTCTTGCCTGATAAATTATGGGGTTAGTCTCTTGTTTCGACGTTCGACTTCATGCAAATTCTCATGTCGGATGTTGGTTGAATAGGATCTCGCCATAAAGGAAAAACTCGGAGACGGTTCGTTTGGAATCGTTCGGAAAGCAGAATGGAAGAGCTCTAACGGACGGAAATCTCTTGTGGCGGTTAAAATTTTGAAAGTGGACTCGCTAAATCTTCCTGGCGCTTACGAAGATTTTTTGAAGGAAGTGCAGGCCATGCATGCCTTAGATCATCCAAATCTTGTTAAGTAAGGAGGTCATTGAAACTGTTTTCGTCAACGGTGGATAAATTTTCATGTTTCAGACTCTTCGGTGTGTGTTTGTCACCTTCGCTGATGATGATCACTGAATTGGCCCCTCTTGGAAGCCTCCTTGAATATCTGAGGAACCAAAATGGCTGCACGTCCATCTGCCGTTTGTGCGACATCGCTTCGCAAATAGCAAGAGGCATGTCGTACCTGGAAGAGAAACGCTTTATCCATCGAGATTTGGCGTCCCGCAACGTTTTGCTTGTGACCGAAGATAATGTAGATCAGAACGAGATTCTGTCGGATGTGTTCAAGGAGTAATCTTTCTCAATTTTCCTTAGATCAAAATCGGAGATTTTGGGCTGATGCGAGTCTTGCCTAATCAGCAAGACTGTTACGTGATGACGGAAACGAAGAAGGTACCGTTTCCATGGTGTGCCCCGGAAAGCTTGAAAACTCGTCAGTTTTCTCATGCTTCCGGTATGTATCCTCTTCGTGGACATTATGAAGCCCTTTCACGTACATGTCAAGGTTTTTGTTGCAGATACATGGATGTTCGGTGTTACTTTGTGGGAAATGTTCGAATTCGGTGGTGAGCCATGGGTTGGACTGAATGGCAGTGAAATTTTGCATAAAATTGACGTGGAGGGTGAACGTTTGAGATGTCCAGAAGCGAGTCCTCCTCGCGTGCACCAGTTGATGCTGCAGGTTGTTTTACGGGTTCTTTTCACCGTACCTTGTGTTTTGTCAAAATGTCACATGAATTAGCCTAAGCTAAGCTTATGAAAACAACCTAACTGAATCAATTCTTCACCAAATATCCGGCATTCGAGGGAAAGACAAAGCGGATCAAATTTCATTTTCTGGCAATTCATCGGATTAACTTAGAATTCTTGTTATTTAGTGTTGGGCAAAGGATCCGACCAATCGACCGACGTTTCAGGCGATTAAAGAATTCTTTCAGCTAGAACAGCCCGAACTTCTTCGTGCGATAAAGGAACTTGGTGGCGCTGGTCGTCTTACGCTTTCAGAAGGCGATATCGTTGCAGTGATAGATGGAGAGTGAGTTACAGTTTATATAAGTCCGATTCGGAATGACTTTCACGCTTCACGTGCATTTCAGCACGGAGAAATATTGGTGGAAAGGTCAGCATCAAGGCAACTACAAAATTGGAATGTTTCCGCGATGTTTCATGGACGCTTCAAGGCGAAAGTCTCCAGCGGACATCAGCAAGCCGATAAGAAATTCCTTTGTTCATGCAGGTATTCCCCGCTACCAATCTTGTCTTTTTTATTCTGGAGAAAGTATTGTCTTCGGTGAACATGTTTATCATTGGAATTTTAAGAAGTGTCAATTGAATTTCCATGTATTGGTCTCTGCGGATACCAGAGTTCATTGTAAAATTTAATTTTAATCGCAGCTTATTATGAAAGGATTTTAGCTTCCTTGACAATTGAAATGTCATCGCTAAAATTCTAGCTGAAGTTGAAAATAAATTAAGAATGTTAGAAAGTCGCAGACTCCTCGTGTGAGGTCACATTATTAATTGCGGATATTTGTTGAAGGAATGCGTCTCAGACATTTTCCTTCGTTCAGGGCACGGCGCGATTCAAGGTGACAGCTGGGGAGAACCTGGGCGTATTGACGAGCTTTACTTGCAACCTGTAGACCCACCCGACCTTCTCGGCTTGCAAACGACTGCATTGCAAGATTCTTGCCCGCTTGATCTTCCTAACAGGAAAAAAAGTGAGTGTCGGAATACAAGTAAAGCTCTAAAGTATTTGGGCAGGATTTTTAAAACTACACAGAACATACCTCCGTGAACTTTAGCAGAAGCCTTTCTGGGTGTTGGCTCTGACTGAATTTTTTATTGGTGCTTGTGCGGCGTGCAAGGAGAAAGTGAAGAGTGCGATGAAGCATTCGGAGCAACGGCAGAGTCTTCCGTGCAAAGTGTTCATGTGAATTCGAATTCACATCGCTTCGAAGTCGATAACGTGCTTATTGGGCTTTGTTCATCTATGGTGAAGGGAGTCAAGAAATGTCGTCACTTATCTGCCGAAATCCGCCGTATGTCTATTAGGTCTAGCATGTCGAATCTCTGACCTCTGTTCTTGTTTTCATGTGGTGTGTAGTGTATAACTCTTGTGTCGTGAGAACTCGTGACAAATCTCTCAAATTTTGCGTTACGAATCGCGTTCGAGAATGCAGAATTCCTTTACTGATGTCGCATGTGTGTTTTTGTTGGAAATATGAGAATCAGTATGGCGTATTTCGTGCTTTGTTAAAGTATTCTACAAATTTAGTGAAGAGCGGGAGTTGAAAGAAGATTGGATTTAGCATGGGCTTGAGTTTGTTTTCCCAAGTGGTTTCTGTAAATTTTGTTACGACTCATTTGACTAGTTCATTTTATCTAGTCGATTAATTTTTCTATTCCAGATCTTCCTATGATTATCTTTCGTTGAACGTGGAAGATTGATAGTCTGCGAGTGGACTATTTTTCTTGAAGTAAAAAAATTCCACTGTAGTCTTACGTTTTGATTTTGAGTGATGTTTGAAGGTTCTATTAATTATAGCAGAACGGATTTTATTACATATGAATTATTCTCGATTTTTCTAAAAACAGATGGGCGTGGAGATGTTTCAATGCGTTTGGTTGGTGTAACGAAAACCGGCCAACCATACGGATACGGAAGATTGCAAAACGAAGCAGTCGGAATAGAAGAGTGTGATGTTCCTAAGCGGTCTGAGGCGTCCCACTCGCTTCCCAAAATTCGTAAGTAATTGGACAACGTTTTCATTCAAAGAATTATTTGTCTCTCTTTTAAGCCCCCGCATTCCGCGAATGAATTTTTCTTTCAAGGCCCCATAAATATTGACATTTTTTGGCTAAGTGAAGGGTAAGTTTGAGACGAAGGGATCTAATTCCTTTCAGTCTCAAAGAAGCACTTGTGGCCCAAAACATCATGTCACTCGTTTTTTCTTACCTTCCCAGGTGCGACGTCAGAGGGCGTCTTGGTGGATCTCAGCGAACGTAATGAAAAAGCTTTGGAGGATGTTTCCTTCATGGGTAACACGTCGGACTTGTATGCATGTAACGTTGAGCGGAAGTCCAGATCTTTTTATTCCGACTCTTCCTTCGAATCTTTGTCGTTCAACGATGATGATTCGGAGCCTGCGCGTGCGACTTACGCGAACTTCATGACGAAACCAATGGACTTGCTATTGACAAATAATGATGGCCAGAAAATTCCTCTGTCACGCTATTACTCGTGTGTGCCGGAAACTGTGATGTCCCCAGAAAGTGCTCTTGGACGCTCTTGTCCATCGCTGAACCGTGCTGCATCCAACCTCGGATTCGGCTGGCCTGAAGAAGCCGGAGCTTCGAGAACATCTGAGTTAGATCTGAATAGAATGTGTGCAGCTAGTCCTGATCCTTTCACAACACCCGATTTGAACAATTTGACTGCGTTATTGAGACCCATGTCGCTCGCAGTCCCAAACGAGCCTTTGAAACCTACTGTGGTGAATCGAGTCCTCTCTTCTACCTCTGTGACTCGAAGTGAAGCGAGTTCCGCACGGCCTCCTTGGCTGGACTTGGATCCGATTTCAAATCCGCCGGAGTTGGGAAAATCGAGATTGTTGACACCGAGAGCAGCCCAGGCGAGGAAATCCGACTTCGATGATGATTTCGTGGATTTTCAGTCTCAGGCGACATCGTTGCCGAGCAGTCCGCGACGAGGTGGCGAGGCGCCCGTGAAAGTGAATAATTTGATTCCGATTTGTGGTGGAGGTGACAGGAACAAGATTCCGATTCGACCTGAAGTTACGATGGCGATCGCGAGAGAAATCCAGATGCGACAAATACAAGCTGAGAAGTTTCAAAACATCAGGTCACCGGAGTCATCTACTCTCCCGCGTCAGGTTAGTAAGAAAAAAAAAGGCCAAGAATTCCCAGCTTCTCCATAAAATGTTGCGCGGAGGTCGTGAAAATAATTTATTATCATTTTTTTTCGAACAAGCCGACACTTATTTGACGCATGGTCTGCAGGATTTCAGTTATTCGGCCGCGACACCCTGTCGCCATACTCTTCGATTCTGCTTACCATGTTATACCTGTCGCTCGAATTTTGTGAAAATTTTCTTTGTGTATACTGTAGTTGATACAGTACTGTTTTTATTTTGGTATTTTGTCCAAATTACGCTTATTTGACTCAAGTCATGTGAGACCATACTAATGATTATTTGAGGTTCAATTTCGCCGTAAAATATTTAATCGAATCTCTCTAAGTCAAATTTGAAGGTACCAAAAAAATATTTGACGGAGTTTTTGAGTTTGGGAAGTTAGGGGAACTGGGTCCGAAAAGGCTTGCTGTACATTTTAAAAGAAGTATTCGAAGCTGACATGTTTGCTGCAACTGTGTGAAGTTTTTTCGAAAGCATTTCCTCAATTATTCCCGCTACACAGAAAGGCGAACCCCAGGAAACTGCAGTGTAAATGAGTTTACATGATGTAGAATCTCAAGCCAGAATTTTATGAACCAATTAAAGTTGCCTGTTTTCTCTCCCGAAAGCGTTACAATTTGAATTTCCTGTCCTTCCTTGTCGTCCGAAATTTCGAGTTGAGTAGGTTCATGTTAGTGTTTTAAAAGGATCGGACAGGGACTAAAATAAAATTAAAGTTGGGTAAATTCCAGTTAAAGAGGTCCCACTGTACAATACTTGCCTTTAGTTAACGCTCTATGAGTTTCTAGAAATCTTGTTTGTTGAAAGGACATTCGTTTTGAAATGGGACACTTTTTATGGGCGAGAAACGAAAGATCGGATCAAAATAAATCTCCCAAATCTGATACGGAATAACAGGAATAACGACGAATAATCCCGCCCACCAAACTTTCATCCCGCCCACTCCCATGTCCCACGGGGCCCCACACTAAGTTGGCATTATTATTCCGACTACGCAAATACGACTCCACAGCTACTGTGTCAATTGAAGGCCCAGACGAGATTCCGTTCAGCTTTGGAGCCATAACATCTTGCACTGCGTTGTCTCCAAGAAAAATGCACCTTGGGGTCACGGAGCCGGTGATCCTTTTTGTTTCCATTAGCTGGGAACAGAGATACGCGAAATACATTCAAAAAATTGCCGGCTTTACCGTATAATTTAAGGATAGTTGAAAAATGTTCAGACGCATGGTAATGGCAAATCGAAATTTAGCACTGTGCTTGGCGTGCGAGGCGTGAAGCTTTGTTGGCAATTTTTAGTCATAAATTTTATTTTCGAAGTGAGCAACACTGAAGTACTGCCAAGCCTCGATAAGACACAACCATTTGTTTGTGAGGTTTGTGGCTTTTAACGGGGTTGGTGATTTATCAGCAGAACTAAAACACTATGAAAATCAAGTCTGAAAGGAAATTCAATTCTTATTATTCTAGAATCTAGACTACTAGAGAACAAAATAAACCTGGGATGCGTAAATTATATCTAGCTAATGTTCTCTAAGGGGTAAGTTATGTTTGTGCTTTTTTTTTTAACTGGAGACCGTTTACAGAAGCTTGAATCTTGTTGGCGGGCTATTGAAGACCAAATTAATTGACAGGAGCACATTTGAGTTTTCAATTTTATTTTAGAACCAATAATGTAAAATTTAGATATCTCATCAATCGAATTGAAGCATTTATTTTAAATGGCCCGCTATTCTTTCTACTGTACTTCTTGATGTTCCCGAGGTCTGTATTTTAAAGGTATTGTTTGAAATGCGTCCCTGAAAAAAGGAAAAATCTTGCCAGCGCTAATTTTGTGGATTAGTCATACTTTTTTGGGAAGAGTATAGCAAAGCCTCTCAAAATCCGGTATAAATGCGTAGAATGAGGCATCAAAAGCGATATAAATATCACTAAAAATGTAATGCATCAGTAGTTCAGTACGGAAGTTATTTTTCTAATGAAAGGTGCGTGAAAAGATGTACAGTACTTCAGAGTTTTCCTTCGTACCTTGCCTATTTGTGTGTAGAAATTACTGTGCATAGAAGCCCCCTCTGTCGGGGAAGTCGCTTAAAACTGTTACTGGAACTAACTCGGATGTTTTCCTGCATTGAAGTTGAAACATGACACTTCAGCGTTTTAGATGTCTTTTACTATCCGGCACGTCACGGTAGTTTACTTTTGTCCATGAGGGCAGAACGAAAAGAAGCTTTGTCATACCAGCCTGGAAAAGGAGCCTCTTGAGAGGATCTGGCCCCGACCACCGACTGGCACTGAAAGCTCCGCACCCGTCAAGTTGCTCATATTTCCGGTGTCCACGGCAGAGAAAGGGTCGTCAGTCGCGAAGAACCCGGGTTTAGGCGCCTCTGTGACAACGTAATTGAAATAGCGTTGCCACCCTGTCCCCAGAGCGCTGGTGGCAACTCTGGATGCTCTTCTAGATGAGCTGGCAGTTAGTACGAAAACTGCTCTGTATCTGCCGCTCACCAATTTCAGAAGCCCTGTCTTTACCCGCACTGAGCATTCTTTCACTGCATATGCGTCTGTCACATCACTTGAATCGAAAACCTACCGGCAACATTCAAATAAATGACCGAATTTATTTTTGACCATTTCCCCATCATATTTGTGAGGGAATCCGCCTTTTTTAGAATTTTATTTCAATTTTTTTTTTGATTATTCACAAACCTTTTGCCAAGCGGAGTCGATCGCCTTGTACGAAATCGGGCTGCCGGCATCAGCGAGTTGCATTGCTGCATACGCTGCTGGCAACTCCCTGGCATCCAAAAACATTTTCAGTTTTGTTTTATGCCAACTCTCCGAAGCTCCAGTTGTTGCCAATGCAGGAATTTCCTCGTCATTGTTGAAGTATCTGTTGACCTTCTCCTGGACCACCTGTACATTTTTTGACTCCAAAGGCAGTTCTTGGAAGCCTGAAATCGATTAATCTTTTATTTTAGTCAAAGATTTGCTCGGCCAACCTTGAAATTGTGAAAAATATTTCAGGTTCGCGTGACCATATTATATCTTTGGAATTTTGTTTTTGCTTCGAATTGGCGAAATTCAGGTGAAATATTTTTTCGAAATGTGTATGCCCTACTTCCTCCATCATAACGCGCACCTTTTTTTCTTTTTAATTCAGCTCAGAAATTGGGGTGCTTTTATAATATTCCAAGTATAATTATAATTTTTTGTAAAACTTGAATATACAGTATTTTTTCTGCGAAATTTCAATTTTTGGCGTGCGTCATACTTCGAAGGCATTCTGTGATTTTTAAAGAGTGACAGTACATTTTCAGTGACTGGAGGCAGGAAAAACTCTTCCTTCGGAAAATATAAAATTGGCAGATGAGAATGTGAAGCAAATGCAGCATAATCGAGTGTAAATTGTTTGTCTAAATTTCGTAGTTTAAAATGCATTTACGAAATTAATTTATTTTCTTGTCAGAGAAAACTGAATTGCGCTTCTTTTTCGGAAATAAATTTTCTCGAAAATTAAGGTGCAGGTCTAACGCGAGTGCTTCATTGAAAAATGGTATATGCTGCTTATACAGGACAATAATAGGAATCAGATGAAGGGCCACTAGAATTACTACAGTACTACAGTATTTGTCTTGAATGTATTTGAGGGATTTCTGTAAGTTCAGAATCTTTTTGGGCTACTTAACCTTTCATGGCTTTGCAGATTTTTCGGTTATAGTTGAGCTTCACCATCAACTTTTCCTCAGTATCAAATACGAGTCCGGTTTGCACCCAGTAACCCAAATCTGGTACGTTTTCCACGCCCGGTAACTCAACGAAGTTTCTCATTCGATTGTAGATGTGGCGTATCATAGCTTCTTGGTCGTACTCCGCTATGCATCCGTCGAGGTCAAATCCGACGACGTCGTACGACTCCAAATTTACAGAGTCAAGGGAAGAAAAGTTGGGTGTCACTGGCCTGACCTGTGATGAGTTGGATGCGTTCGACGCTTTCTTTTTGTTCGACATGATTTTGTAGAAGCAAGAAACTAATTTTTCATGATTTGGGACTAAACCTTCATGAGTTTTTCTCTCCGACCCGAAAGCTAATGTTTTTAGGCTTATTTTTCGCTTTGTTGCGTAATCCAAATTTGTTGATTCCTAGACACACCCCGTTTTTGTGCCTCAACTACTATTAAAAAAAAAATATTCAACTGCCCTTATAGTGTAGTCATTATCTTCTGAATCAGGAGTACAGTATATTATTGCTCTTCGTGCTTCAGTTCCCTTCAATTTTTTCTTTCATTGCGACCAAGAAAAGAGAGTCCAACTTTATTTTTTTACAGAACCTGGTAAAAATATTTGTTGAATTAAAATTTAGATTTAAGTTTTATTTGAGAGAATGTTTTACAAAAAGAATACCTTTTTTTCTGCAAATACATAAGTACCGTATGATATTCTCTGAATTTAAGTCATTTTTGGATGAAAAAACGATTTGATTTATTTGGTAAAATGCGGTTTTTTGACTGTCGTGCATCAGTAACTGCGAACGAGTAATACCGGTGGGTTTTCTTTTTGAGGGACCATAAAAATTAATTGTAGAGAACCCCTTTAACATGGGGAGAGAACCTTTTGGGGACCAGAGAAAGTCGTTGTAGACAAGACTAATACTTGATAGTTGTAGAGAGACCTGTACTGAGTCATTTATTGACTCTTGCCCCCCTCCCCTCCCTTCAGAGGAATTGCCGATTTACCACCATGTTAAAATTCATTTAGACGCTTCCAAGATACCAGTGTTCACTACAGTTAGGTTGAGAACAGGCCTCTCAAGCTTTTTTCTACAAGAGGTGATTTTGTTTGTATTCAATGTTATTCGGAGTCATTTGAAAATGCTGTAAATCCAGTAATTTTCCATTATTTATAGAAAACATTTCTTTGTTCTATCACAGTTCCCGAATCCTCCGGCATTTCGTCCGCCCCCATCTCCACCCAAGCTGAGCAATGGAAGTCTTTCAGCGACAAACGATCTTGTGGCGATTGTGGTTGAGCAGGTCAATGGCGTGACTGTGTCCGAGGCTCGAGCAGTGCTCACTGCGTGCAATAACAACGTTCAGGCCGCTGTGCAGCGATTAAAAATAGATAAGCTTTCAAGGTGAAGAAAAGGAAGAATTGATTATATAGAAGTGGTTGAGTCGCGTTGAATGATGTGTCCCCTTTATCTTTAAACCCGTTTGTACAAAGGCATTTGAATGCGTTCTGCACTTGTGCACTTTTCAGAATTGGCGTGGGTTCACGGACTGACTGTGAGAATTGCTTGAAGCGGTTCAATTGGAATCTTGAAATCGCTGCGAGTGCCCTGCTGGATCATGTCGAGCAGAACTTGTGAAACTTTTCTTCTTTCTTTCTTTTCCTTTTTTTTTAGACTTCGGTGACTTGACGGTGCTGTTTTCGTTAAAAACCAAATTCGTTTCTTCCTAAATCTTTCGTTCCTTTTTGCAATTGTGCTTTTTTCCGTTGTTTTTGAAGAGATATTCGAGGGACACAATTCTACCTGTAGAGCAGCATTTATCCGGTCCGAAACATAAAAGAGAAAACCATACGTTTCTAGGGCTTTTGACAAGTATGATTTCCGAGAACGGTTGGGCACTTCTTCGAGTGAAGAGACTTGAGCATGTTAATGAAAAGTAATTTTTTTTATCGACTGCGAGTTTTTGGAAGCTTTCGTTGTTATGCACGATTGATTTTTTTATTCTTTGGGCTGCGATTGATTAGAAAGTCGTTGCAGATATATAATGGTGCTGTGATGCGCACGTAATTTTCTTCCTCCCGGGTACGTGTTTTAGGCTTCTCAGAAACTCATTGCTGCATTTGACTCTTTTTCATTCGCCCGTGATTGTGATTCAGTCTGCCAAGAAAGCAAATTGAAGGCCGGATTTTACATTTTTGTTATTGGTTGGGCTGCAGTTTTTCGGAACAATCTGAATCGTCATTTTTTGCATCCGAAGCATTGGTTCCAATTCTACATTAAATTTCAAAACGTGAAAGGCGGTCGTATTCATTTGTTGCTCTCTGCGTAGAACATTTCAGATGGCTGCGTTGTGTTATCACTTACTTTTGAAGAAAATTAAATGTGCGAAATGCTTTTCGTGCGCGTTTTGAAACCAGTGTTGTCGACTTGATATCGGTAACTTATGAATAGTGAGGCAAGTGTTATTTTCCGTCGTACATGGTTAGTTTCAAACGGGTTTGAAAAGAAATATGTCGTTCAGAGGGAATTATTTCTGCTATATTGAGTTCTGTAATGAATTTTTTTCTACCGAATTCGAAATCAGTAAAAGTATCACCTCTCGTTCGAAGTAGATTTTTCGGTGATTCATAAGTGGAGAATATGAGTGTCTCGCCAATGGCTGCGGAAGCTGTTTTGGAATTGAGTGACCTGACGGACCTGGCTACCGGTTGTAGCCTCGCTTCCAATGACGAAGAACGAGCTTTGGCGAAAGGTGCGACGGATAGTTTCAACTCTGGGAATCACTCAAATGCGCGAGTGCTTGCTGAAACTTTGGCAAACCTCAGACCGAAGGACCCAAAAGTTGCCACAAATGTTTTGGTGGCGAAGTTTTACGAGAAGCATTGCGTTGATGCGGAGTTGTTTCTTGATGGAATCAAAGAATGTTGTGATAGGGTAAGTTTTTATTTTTGGACTTGTGGACTCTCCTCGCAACGATTTTATAGCTAATTTCTCTGAATTTTTTGCAATCCCATACGGTTCTATTTTCATGTTTTAGGGGTTCTCTATAACGAAATTTTCTCTACCACGAATTTTTTCTGGTCCTTCGAATTTCGTTGTAGGGTACACCACTATATTTGCCTTCGGTTATGCTCTGATACCACAATGAGGCCACAGTTGAAATCTTATTTGGAAGTTTGTTCGTGCTTTACAGATGTCGCCTAAATTGTAAGAATCTTCAGGATTACAGTAATCTAATTCTAATATACATGTTTAGTTTGTTCAAGTATTGTACAACATTGCATTTTTCTCGCAGTCAGGCTTGAATGGTTTGATGAGGATTAAATGTCATTCATGGTCTTGTCTTCGACATTGAGGCGACATCTGCCAGCACAGGAAGGTACCAAAATTGGGTCTTAGTTATTTCCCGTTTGTTCTATCGTGATTGTTGAATGTCCGACTAACGAGGTTATGGGCTGTATTCATAGTGCGATATCTCATTGAACATGCCAGAAAGTTTGGAAGACATGGACAATGCGGTATTCTACTTCAACAAGGCACTGGTAATGTTCCATATCCGGCAATACAAGAAAGCCATTAGGATTCTACGAAAGCTGTTTCAGTACGTCGAACCTTTAGGTAAGCACGCTCGATATAATGATCATGAGGGGCTCTTTTTTATCATTGTGCGTGTTTTTTTTTTGCAGAGGAAAAGTTGATCATAAAAGTGTGTTTTTTGCTGGTGGAATGCTACCTAGCGATTCAGCAACCGGATAATGCTCTATACGCGTTGAATCACATGGAGAGCCACTTGTTGGAAAAGAATAGTTGTACTTCGTCTCAGCATAGTCCAACTGGTTCGAACAATGGTCTCAAATCATCATCACCGGATAAAGATCTTTCCAAGAGTGATACAGTCAAACCGAGCGGAAAATCTCTAGGTCAGCCATGTGATCCAAGTTCTGATGACTGATGCCTAAAATTGTATTGGAGATGTCGCCTGTGTGTCTCCCATTTTCAGATTTCTTGGTGAATGATCATAAGTTGGAAGCTAAATCTTGATGGAGATTCTAAGTTCTGTTCACATTTCTATCGATTATTAAGTACTGTACAGTACTTTTTTCGAATTCTTCTGAAGAAATGGAAGTATGAGACTACAGATATTACAATAATCAAGAATCAACCAGAATTTCAAAGAACACGTTTTTAGTGTAAGTCTTGGGGAAGCCATCTTCAAACAAATAGTAAATGTGAATTGTGGATGATTTTTTTATGTTGGAGCGAAATTGAAGTTCCCCTCTTCCAAATCAAGTATTCTTGTTCCTATTGTTTTTTTAATTCATTTAGTAACTCATGTTTCTTGATTTTTATTATTTTTATGAAAATTGAAGTATTCAACGTTATGTATATTTTTTGGCGTTTTCATTTTTTTCAATACGAGCACGCATGTATAGTATTTTTGAAAATGCCGAATATTTTCAATTTACATCAGGATTTTGTTTAAAGCCTGATGTTTTTCAGAACTGGTTTTAACGGAACGGCAAAAACAGAAGTTCATGGAGTACCGGGTACGGAGTTTTCTGATGTCGAGGAATATCAAGGCGTGTAAGAAAGAAGCGAAGAGTTTCTTGACGGCAAATTGTTCTGGGCAGGCGGTGAGTGAAATTTTATGAAACCCATGAGAATTATTTAATTTTATTTGTCCTACTGAAAATTATTTAAAGTGCGGCTTTTATATTTCAGGCTGTCATGCAGTTATTTTTACGAGCAAACGTGGAGTATCACAAGGGTAATTGGCGGAAAGCCGTCCACTTTCTCAACACCTTGCAACCGATAATGCAAGAAGAGTCGTGCAAAAACATGTTTTCTTCTGCAACCGATGGTCTTCCGTTGACTGTCGGGAACAACGACACTGACGATCTTCCGTCACTGGTCGAAGGACCCTGGACGGAGCCGTTGAGCGTAGCTTATTACAATAATATGGGCTGCATTCACTATCGCATGGGTCGTTGGAACTTGGCCTGTCATTACTTCACGATGGCGTCGGCGGAGAACGACGCTCTGGTTTCCGCTCGCAGTGTTGCATTTGGAGGACATGCCGCCGAGCGATCAAAGTGAGAACTGAGTTTAAACTTCCGGTCGTACTGTACCAGAAAAGATCGCGCGCAGTAAACAAAGGGAGTGGAAATTTGAATCTAACGCGGAAGGGGCTGTTAGAGCTTTTTCTTCGAATGTACCCGAATTCTTTGAACGTATACCCTAATTTCCCATCGAAATTGAGGAATGTCCTCGTAACAAAAGTTTGCCTCCCGAAGTCTGCAACACTTAGGCTATGGAGTCTTGATTTCAAAGGGCACTGGATCTTTTTTCTATGAACGTAGTACGAATTGAATCGTGAATCGCAGAAGTCGACGTCGTAGGAAATTTTGAAATTTCAAGCTATGGAAAACACAAAATACAAAGTGTCAATATCAATTTTTTCGATCACTTTTCAAAAAGAAAAGAATGTGTTAATTCTCTCAAAATTATCAGTCCTTTTTTATTGCGCGTCTGCGATTATGGCTTTTCTTATGTTACGTTGATCTAGTTTTTGCAACACTATCAGGGCAAAATAGATCTCATTAATTTTTTCTGACAGCTGTGTGATGTGCAGAAAGTTGATGGTTTTTTCCCTTCATTTCGAAAAAGGGATATGAAAGTGTCGACTCTTGGTTGGCCCATGTGGGCTCGTGGTTGTGGGCGTAAATATGAGTTGGCGTACAACATGGGAATCGCTCTATTGCATGCCGGAAAGCCTGGGATCGCTTTTGATTACCTGTGGGACGCGACGAAGTTCTATTCAAACAATGCCCTGCTTTGGCTGCGACTGGCTGAAGCTTGTATCATGTGTTATAAGGCGGTTCGTTTTTCCGTATTTTGATCTTTGTAGAATTTTGAGAAAAATACTATTCACCTTGTTGATACAAAAACTATTTCTTTTCTTTTCGCTACGAATGATCAGGATAACGAACCGGATTTTCACTTCCAAGATCGAAAGAAGTCCTTGGTCCGAGGTTCTGTTGGTTCGGGGATTCATAGGAAACTTATATTGCCGACAAAACTTGCGCAGTGTGGGCCTGCCCGTGGGTGAGCTCATGAAAAATCTGAAAACTTTAAATTGCGTGTTATTTTATCTGTATCCCTAATTGTATGGATTCGATGCAGTGATCCAAATGTGTCAGTCTTGACGCCACTTCCGCGATTGGAATTTGCCGATGTTTGTTTAAAAAATGCGCTGGTGATCATAAAGCGAAAAGACGACCCTGGGACCTCTTTAGCACCTTTTAATACGCCTGGTGGCGGCGGTCCGACCACGATCCAGTGTATGAAAGAAGTGAAAAGCAAAGATCAGCAGCACGTTGAAAGCGAAGATTCTGACGTGAATCCTGCTTTGAAGCCAAAGCATATCGAGGTAAAATGTCGTTCATTCGAAGGAATGCATATTGTTGCGAAGGAATATTTATTGTAAGATAAATCCATTTGGAATGTGAAGTGATCCCCCGTTTTCGGGTTTTCATTGCAATGCCTTGTGCTGAGGATGTACTGTATTTTTCTAATGATAATTTACCGCATTTACTCGAGTAGGAAAACATTCTATCCTCACATTAGATGCGCTCCGTAATTTTCAGTTCCCAAATACTGTCTACAGTATTGTATTAGTGTATAATGTTTAAATTTAAACTACTTGGGGTAAAACATTAAACACAAGCTCACTTAAAAGTTCATTTCGGTGTTGATGTTTTGTCTTACGCGTAACAAAGAATCATGAAAGAAGAGAACTTCAAAAAAAATGTCAAGCGGAGGAAAAAGTTTGTAGTTTGAAGAAATTCAAAAATAAAATTGTTTACTCGAGTATGACGCGCGCCTAATTTTTTACCCCGGTTTTTTGGGAATCCGTTGCACGTGGTACTCGAGTGAGTACGGTAGTACAGTATAATTTTTCACCTCCCCATGTCACCAACTTAATTTTTTGCTTATTTTGAAACTAGCAACTACGTATTGAATTTGCCAGCAACCGTTTTCCAGTTTGCATGGCTTGAATATGTTGCTAAAATTCAGTGTTCGAAAGCTTTATTTTTTCAAAGCCGAATTTCTGTACGACGTGCTTTCGAACCCGCAGTACAGAATTCGCGGCAGTTCTAGTCGAAGCATTCGTGAACCGGTTTTCCATTTTTGCTAAAATTCAGTGTTCGAAAGCTTTATTTTTTCAAAGCCGAATTTCTGTACGACGTGCTTTCGAACCCGCAGTACAGAATTCGCGGCAGTTCTAGTCGAAGCATTCGTGAACCGGTTTTCCATTGAAATATATACAGTATTCATGTCTACGTGAATATTTTTTTTTGTGGTAGACGGTACCAGGGCCGACGTTTAAGCCGCGAGAAGCCTTCCATCTGCGTTGCAGCGTGCTGATTGCGGCGGCGTATGTGAATTTGCGGTTGTTTAACTCACGCCAGACGTTGGAGTACACAAAGGAATTGCTGCAATGTGAGCCTTACCTTTCCATCACCCACCGGCTGTTGGCGCATTCATACACCGCGGAAGCCCTCGTCATGGAGGATCGGATTTCCGAGGCGATTTCTCACCTCGTTGCTGACGACGTGGGGAGCGATTTTGGCGCGCACTTGCATGTAAGTTTCTCCCGAATTTTCTTTCTATTTGGAAACAATGTCAAAATTATGTTTTGTATTTTTTAATGCCGTACTGTATACTTTTTATTAAAATTTAACGACTCGTGGTTATTATCTTGTCGGAAATTTTATTGTTGCGTTCACCACGTTAGATCTATTTTTATGGAGAATATTTTGAAGCAGCAATATAACTTGAATGGTTCGAACTACATTATAAGTTTAAACCGTGAACTAAATCGTATGATTTTAAAACATAGTGTCAAATAAGATGTAATTCAATTATTTTTCGAATGGTATATAATTTGACGAGACATCGACTACGTTTTTCTCTAAACCTGATTATTTTTGGGTTGAAATATTTCTATTCGGAAAACGTTCTGTTTCTTTCTGGTTCACCCTTCGTAACTGTTGCTTTTTTGATCGAAAATCGTAAACAAAAAGGAATAAAAAATGTGAAACTATTCTATTTTACTATTTGAAGAACCAGAACTAAAGGAACTGAACACTTGTGTTCCCGTATTTTGACGTAATTGTCTGGGCATTAGTTCTTTTTTCTTTTTTTTTTTAACTATTTTTAAAGTTGCATTTGTGTTAGGTTTCAATCGAATTTTTTACACTATGCGTGATGATATATCCGATCTTTAAACTCTATTCCTGTTTCAGAATTATGATGAATTTACATTTGCATTTTTCTAGTTATTCTTGCGTGAATGTGGCATTAAATATTTCTTTCCCTAAATATTTTTAGGGCCGTAATCCTTTCGATAATCCAGAGCCAGCCTCGACGCAGACGACAGCTGGCAATATCCAACAATCCCAGGCATTGAAGCACACGAGGAAATGGTTCCCCAACAACGCGAGCACTGCGAAAGTGTTAGTGCAATACAACTTGACAGTCGCGTACGCGTTTCGTGGGGAATTAGAGAAGGCTGGGGAGGCGTTGAAGCAGTTATCAAAATTCAAGGAACCAAACGCGGAAATCCCTATTCAAGCCATGTTGATGGCTCTTTATATTCAAGTGCAGCTAGGCAATACCGATACGGCGCGAAAAATCATCAAGCAGCATTGCCCACAATACCGTTGACGCCTCTATCTTTTGGACTTTACTACCCAAATATATATTCCTTTTTGACTACCTCTTCGTTGAGATTCAATATCCGTTCTATCTATGGATGCTTTTTTGTTTATGTTCGTGGAATTGAGCTATAACAGGTGGTGACTAGCTTCTGCATAATACAGCACATGGTTTCGTTTGATGGCAGATTTCTGCTATCTCTGCGGACAGAGTTGTTGTGCCGTCGATAATGGCGATATTGTGATCTGGAGACGAGTACCGAAGATTTGATTGCATTGATTCATGGGATCATTCTGTAATTTTTTTGTTCTGAGTACGATTCGTTCTGAAGTTTCACGTCGTTGTTTCGCAGTTATCTTGTGAGACACTGTGAACGAATATGCGACCATTGACTGAGGAGGAAACTAAGGCATTTTTTGAAAAGCTCTCGAAATTGTGAGTATTTTCCTCCTGAATTTTATAAATGCTTTTCGTTTGTCTAATCGATCGTGTTTTCGCAGTATCGGAGATAATGTGAAAGCATTGCTTGACCGAGCAGACGGCAGATACTGCTTCAGGCTGCACAAAGAAAGAATTTATTACATGTCAGAAGCATTGATGAAACGATCGGCGAGCTTCGGTCGTGATCATCTCTTGACAGTCGGCACGTGCTTCGGGAAGTTCACCAAGAAGAAGCACGATTTCAGAATGGGCATTACAGCATTGGAATACCTAGCGCCGTATTGTCAGGTACAGTATTTCTTTGTTGCCCAATATGAGATTTGTCTTGATTTCTAACTTCTAAGAGAATCAAAATAATTTGTTCGAACATTTTTCAGTCAATTTAATTCCTTTTTAGCGCTTGATGAGCGATTTTAACGCATTTCTTGCGACTCTAGACGCAAGATTGATGGCTTTCAATTTAAGTCGTTTCTGACAAATTTTTAAAAATTTTAAATTAACACGTGCAATATCGCTTTCCAGCCATTAATCATTCAAGCTTTTGGAAGAATCCAACTAATGAAATACAGTACTTCGCTTAATTGAAAAAGTAGCTTACAGAAAATCTGAAAAATCATCTATTCTAAAATGAGATTCCATTGGAAGTGTCGACGTGCTCGTGCCTTTTTTATTTTTCATAAATTATCCTTGACATAAAATACAGTTCGGTAAATAATGAGAATACAGGACTTGTTACTGACGACGTTTTTAATTAAATGAACCTCTTTAGTCTGGAAAATGCTGAAAGAAAAAGTGAAAATTCGACAACCCCTGCATTATGTAGATCTAAACGGTGTTTTGACTGGATTGTTACTTTTTAGTACAAGATTTGGCTAAAACCGTCGGCAGAGCAGCAGTTTCTTTACGGTCACAACGTTATGAAATCAGGACTTGCGAGAATTACGGAAAACACGCCGCAGTATCGTGGAGTTGTCATTTATAACATGGCAGACATTCCTTTGGTGAGCAAGAAATTTATAGAAGTGATGAAAATTTTAATGCATCCTCATAATTTTTTGATTCAGGGGTTTGGAATTTCGGCCAAGTCAACTGCGGAATGTAGAAATGCAGATCCCATGACGATAATTTGCTTTCATCAATCTGACGTTGGGGAGTATCTGAGAAATGAAGCAGAGCTGATATAGGCTCACTAATGAGAATGTGCTGTGATCTCGCGGTGAATGATTCGAGTAAATCGACTCAAACCGGGATGTCAGAATTCATTTTTCGTGTCTTTCTTCTGAAAGCTTGCACGCATGAAGTTGTCCTACTTAATTGTTCTCAAGATCAAGTCTTGAAAGATTCGCAAGAATTCATATCTTTCATTTTTTTTCTTCTCTGGAAAGGTTGTTTTTCCTCTGGACTCAGGTCAATTTCAAATTTGTTGTCTAATCCTTCGTTCGTGCGTGAAATCCTAATATGTTATGCATGCGAGCTTTCAGGTGACTCAGACAGCTGCGCGCTTCTCCGCATCATTCCGTCAGTTTACAAACGCGCATTATTTATAATCCTGAATGCGTCTCTAAACGCTGCATTCTCGCGCAACTCAGAAGTAGAATGGAATTCCCGGGAGTAGTTCTAGAATTATGTCTCGGAAGCCGAGAGTATCAGAAGAATTCAAGCGAATGCGAAAAATTGTTCGTTATACTGTACTGAACATAAAATACGTATTACCGTAATATTTTTCGTCGAATTCACCACTAAAAAAAAAAGTGACGGATTGATGCGGCGTTGTTTCTGTTTTTTTTTTTTTAATTTTCACTGCAAGACATTTAAAAAATCTATCTTTCACCTGCTAATTTTATTTTTCCAGGCGTGATTTAGTTTTAGCCGTTGCGCGACGCGTTTTAGCTGCTGAAACTGATATGTCTCGAGAGGGTGTGTGAACTATTTTAAAAAGAGGGGAGTGCGAAGTGAACACTTGGTAAAAGTGAGGCAGTACCTCGCACATGGCAGCCTATTTACGGCACATGACGATGGCGCACATGAGCGGAGATGGCCCAAATCATCATTCACCGCCGCGACTGCACGATGGACGCGGAATCCGAGACTCGCCCACGTCTCCCCTCAAAATCTTTGTACAGGCCAAACGATCGGCCAACGAGATTTTTGAGCAGATGGATGTTTACGTCGTCGAGTGTTTGGATTTTATTAAAGGTAAGTTCAGTCCGTTTGAACCAAATGCTCACTCATTATAATGCGCAGTCTGTTGACGTTTTTGGTGGCCCCGTATTTGCTACTGGGTCAGGGTTGTGCAAAATTTTATTGAAATTTTAATCCCAAATGGTCATACAAGGTATTTCGTACTTCGACCCTGGATTTCCCTCTTTTTTTAAGTGTGGTTTGAATATCATTGGCAGCCACGGTTGCTTTCATTCGAGCTGAAGTATCTCGAGCGCCATCTGCTGCCCTATTTCTCCTGTGTGCGTACGAGCGTTGCCGTAGTATCGAAGGGGTGGTGATTGAGGCGCTTTGCTTCAAAATCTCTACTCGTTCGTCTCCCATTTAATTCTGTCGACGTTTCACCCGGGATTTTAAAGAGGTCACAGTATTGTTGATGTTTTGGACAATTCATGGAGGCAGAACCCCCCCCCCCCGAAAGACAATCGCCGTATTACAGTATAATTTGAATTTTTGAAGTTTTTCGCGAGTGTTTCATCAGTTCGTGAATCATGAATCTGAATTTTTAGATTTAATATTAATTGTTATCGTTAAAATTTTGACTCACACGCGTTTCTGTGACACTATGAAGTACAGTAGTAACGTTGACCGGATTATTTTCTCGCGAACATTTGAACGTTTAGAACAATTTTGAAATTGAAACGGAAGTTTCAATGCTACCGTATCAAAAGAAATTTCGGAAGGGTTTTGTGGGAAATACAGTTTTTAACGGAATTAACGCGGAGGTGGATAATCCGAACGCGTTTTAAATTTTCTTGTCACCGTTTGTGCTCAACTGTATAATTCGTCGTTTTCATAGCTGCCATTTTATTCATTTCCTCAATTTCGTAATCATATTTTTTTCTTAATCTAATCATCGTTCAGGAGGGATGAGTGTGGGATCGATCATAACAAACGAGATTCGGGATGGAGTGGAATCCTACAGAGCAAAAGTTGCTGGGATTCGAGAAGTTCTTAAGAGAGATCACATGAAAGTGGCATTCTTTGGACGGTAGGTTGCATTAAGTTTTTTTAATTCTGTTTTCTGATTTTTGGTAGAAATTTGCAAATGCCTTTTCTCTTTCTTTTGTGATTCTCACAGAACGAGTAACGGGAAAAGTACCGTTATTAATGCTATGTTGAGGGACAAAGTGTTGCCATCCGGTATTGGACATACCACGAATTGTTTCCTGCAAGTGTGTGCGTCGGAGACAGATGATGCATATTTGACACTGGAAGGGATGAATGAGCGCCGTAATGTTGCGGTATGTTCTGTCTGCAAATCTTTGTTGGAGGAGCATTTAAAAAACTCATCCAAGCGTCGACATTTGTTCGCTTTTCTCAAAATTTCGTTCTTGAAAAAAAATTTTTCTATGATGTGCGGGTATCATCTGAACAACAAAGAACAAGCAAGCAATCAAGGCATAACCTAGATCCGACCTAGTGAAGGGTAGAGCAATCCAGGGGGTTTTTATGCAAAAGCAAATTGAACCGTGGAGTCAGGGAAATGTATCACACCTCGATGCTTTCACATCCCTAGAGGAATAGTGTAGAACTGTTTGTGAATTCTGCTCTTGCAGGAAAAAGCTTTCATTCTTTTTCTTGTTTCTCACTAACCATAGAATGAAAGTTTGCAATGCACGAACTATGCTGTTTTTCGTGTACAGTATCTTGCTTCCGTTTAAAAAAAAACCGCTGGATCAGCGAAAATAAATAAGATGTTTTTGATCAACTCGACAGTCGGTAGCCCAACTAGGACACGCATTATGTGAAGAGAAGCTAAACGAGAGTGCAATGGCGTATGTGCACTGGCCGGTGGACCGATGTCCGTTGTTACGTGACGACGTTGTGTTCGTCGATAGCCCTGGGGTTGATGTTTCTCCTAATCTTGACGACTGGATAGATCAACATTGCGTGGACGCCGATGTGTTTGTTTTGGTAGCTAATGCGGAGTCAACACTCATGCGAACGGTGAGTGGTTGTCTTAGTGCCAGAATAGTGTTCTAAAGATTACTTTACTTTATGACTACTTTACGCGGAAACATTGTGAGTTGAAGATTCCTCTCTGCTGAAATGGAGCCTCGTTCAGTCATTCTGAGCATTTAGGTTTCCATTCTATCATGCTTGCAAATCTGCCGCGGAATCCGTCACTTGAAGCAGTATCGCCTCAGGTTGCGCGAGTAAAAGCCCCGAGTTTTTGTTGTTAATATTATCAATGTTTGTCGCGTCCTTGTCGGCAGAAAAAAGTTACGCAATTCATCTCAGATTAAATTATGAAAAGTGAAAATGGGATTGGATTCATTTGTGAGCTCCAACTGAAGTGAAATTTACAGAGACCAAATATTAATATTTTGAGAGACTCTTCGTTAGAAACTGTTAATTTATTCAGGAAATTTTTTTTTGAAAAATTATTCTTATAAAAATTAAAAAACGAATTTAATCGCGGAGTAACTCTTTTTTTGTTTTTGTTGGTAGAATCCACCTGTAACGCTAATGAATTTGTAATTCTGTGCTTCGTATTTCCTTTTTTGAGGGCTACGGAGTATTGCTGTTTCACTGTCCAAGGTCTTATTTTTTTTTTCAGGAAAAAAATTTCTTCCACAAAGTTTCATCAAAATTGTCGAAGCCAAACATTTTCGTGCTGAATAATCGATGGGATGCATCAGCTGCTGAGCCGGATTTTCTTGAGCAGGTATTGTTTTTTTTTTTCAGGAAAAAAATTTCTTCCACAAAGTTTCATCAAAATTGTCGAAGCCAAACATTTTCGTGCTGAATAATCGATGGGATGCATCAGCTGCTGAGCCGGATTTTCTTGAGCAGGTATTGACGAACCTCTCCGTTAATTTAAGACCTTGGGAACATTTTTTAAGTCTATGTGGCTCGTGGCTTCCCCGTTGAATTTTGCCAGGTTCGGGCACAACATATGGAAAGAACTATGGATTTCCTTGTGAATGAATTACAAGTTTGCACTAAGGCCATGGCGGAAGAACGAGTGTTCTTTGTGTCGGCCCGAGAGACGTTGAATGCCCGTCTGCTAGAAAAGGAAGGTCGATCGCCAAACGGTATGTTGAGCTTTGTGCGTCTATTACTCCTGAGAGTGAGTTCTGGAGTACCCCAATTTACGATGTTGTCACTTCTTACAGCTGCTGCCCTTGGAGAAGGCTTTTCCGTACGCTATTTTGAGTTTCAGAATTTCGAAAGAAAATTCCAAGAGTGTATCTCGAAATCGGCTGTTAAAACCAAGTTCGAGCTGCACGTTCAGCGAGGAAAGAATATAACGGCGTAAGTTCGGAACGATTTTCTAACGCGACTGAGTTTTTAAAATCTGATGATTCAATAGGGATATGATTGGTTGTATGGAGTCCGTTCAAGAGCGAGCTGAGAAATGCCGAATCACGCAAATCGCTGAGCGGCGTAAACTCGTCGACAGGAAAGAAACGAATCTTCGGAAAGTACAAGAGCTCACTCACAAAATGAAGGACAAAATAGTTCACATGGTCAACGATGTTGAGAGAAAGGTGTTGCGTCTGATGAATTATTAAAGTTTTTCTCGAGATTTTGCAAAAACGAAATTCAAAATACATTAAATCTCGAAATTATTAGGTTGCAGCTGCGTTAAATGACGAGATCAGATTGCTGTCGGGTTTGGTTGACGATTTCAACTATCCGTTCAACGATGAACTGGTCGCCCTAAACGGATACAAGCGAGAGATTCATGCGCATGTGGAAAGCGGTCTCGGCAACAATCTCAAGACGAGGCTATCGTACGCATTAGCATTAAATGTGGAAAGTGCTCGACGGGAAATGACAGGTATGCTTCCAATCTTGATGAAGTTTTAACGTGATCAAGAACCTTATCCAGATTTTGGATAATTACTTGAGGATAAAAAAATCAGCAAGGAAATTTTCTCGGGAAATTATTTTTCAAAATGTTGCTAATTTTCTTAAAATTATTTCTATTTTGTATATGCACTATAGTATTCTGTAATCTCGAGTATCGGGTGCACATGTCAAACTGCGGCCTATTCTGAAAAAATGAAAAGTTCGCTAAACGGAAATTCCTTTAGGAAGTTCGTTTTTTAAAAGGGGAAGATGTTGCTAATTTTCGTAAAATAATGCTTATTTTGTCGATACATTAAAGTATTGCGTAACCTCATATCGGGTGCACATGGAAAACTGCAGCCTGTACTGAACCACCTGGAGCATACCCAAGCACTCGAAGTTCCGGTCGTTTATTTTAGGGGATATGTTGGGCGTATAATTGCCGAAATATAGTATCCAGAACAGAAGGAAAATCTTGGTATGTGTGTTTTTCAGATCGTCTGTCGGAATTACTGCCGCAAGAAAAGCGTCATGTGGCGAATCAGTTGATCGGTGCAAGGAGAGAACCGTTCGAGATGTTGTACAGATTAAATTGTGATAATCTCTGCGGGGATTTCAGAGAGGATATCCGATTCAAGTTCTCACTGAGCCCGAAATCCTTGTATGAGCGCTTCTTTGGGAACGCGGATACGAGTCGGATTTCAATGAGGAGTGATCGGGAACCTGTGAGTTTGATATTTTCCGAGATCATAATGATGTTCCCTAATTGTCTCCTAAAAAATGTACGAATTTTCTAAAAATATTTTCTTAAATTTTTTCAAAGGTTCCTCGGCCAATGGTGATGAGGTCGAGTGATATGCACGGGTCGTCTCATGAAACCCACTCGTCGCCTAGCTCGATCTTGTCCTTTCTACCCCCTGATCAGATGACCTTTCTTGCGAGATTCGGCATGGCGTCACTTACTACTCAATGGGCCACGGGTGGCATGGTTGGGTCAATCTGCGTAAGTCAACTTTTATTGCATACAGTAATACATTTTGAACAAGTCGGATTTGACAAAAGGAAGCTCTAGAATTTTTCCTGTTGGGAAAATTATATTCAAGCTTGATTCTTTCATTTTCATGCGTTTCTTGATTATTAAAGGAGTTTTTGAAATCTTCATTCTTATTAATATTCGCGGAGGAAAAATGGAGGTAAATTCCCCCCCGTTTAGTTTCGATGTTGGTAACGAACTTCGAAAATTCCTTTGTATTATTACGTGTGGATTTTTTGGGGAATGTGTGGATTTTTCCATGGCAATTTTAGTCTATTTTTTCAGTTGGGCAATTTTTGCATTTTTTTTTACGAAAGCTGAAATCAAGAATTGTTCCGTACTTGTATTTTCTTAGGTAGCGAGAAGATATTGACTGAAACCTAAAACATTGTTTTATCTGTAAATACAGTGTGCTCATTGTTATGGCATGATTTTATTTTGAACTTCGCGATGGCTTGATGTTCTGTGCCAGTTATGTCCGAAGTCTGTTCTTTGCGTTGAGATGAAATTTGCAATCGCCCTTTTTCGATTTTATCTGTGTTCAAGCGGAAGTTCATTTTCTTGTGATTATTGGAACTGATTTCGTTGACCATTTGTCAATTTAGCTGTTGAGAGCTGTTGGTTGGCGGGCGTTGCTAATAACGGGTGGAATCTACGCGGGATTGTACGTTTACGAAAGAATGACGTGGACAAGGAAAGCGAAAGAACAGGCGTTCAAGCAGCAGTATGTTCAACATGCGTCGCGAAAGTTGCGTCTCATTGTTGACCTTATTTCCACCAACTGTAGTCATCAAGTTCAACAGTGAGTTAAACTTCCCTGTGTTTTTTATTCCTTGAGGAAAATTATATTTCTTTCTGCTTTGTACTGTATTGATTTCAAAAAGCAGCGAGTTTTTTTTTTGCGTTGATCTCGAGTGAGACAATTAGTGGTTTGAACGAAATTTTGTTGCTTACCAGGGAGTTATCAGGTTGCTTTGCCCGGTTGTGTCAACTTGTCGACACGTCGACGGATGAAATGGCACAGCAAATCAAACACCTGGAAGCTGAAATCACTTGCCTGGAACAAATGTGCAATTCGGCGAAAATTCTTCGGAATAAGGCGAACTTTTTGAACGTTGAACTGAATACGTTTTACAAGAAATTCTTAGAAGACGACGAAGAGTGATCTACGCCGAACGAAGCGGGTGTCGGTCGAGTTTTAGTCGCAGTGGGTCTGACTCATGTCTAGCTTGTTCATTGGCTACCGGTTTTGGAATATTGTCGACTCGGAGAGTGTTCGATTCCTGAAGGGCAAAGTGCGCAGTTCGATCGTGAGAAAACATGAGTGATAGAAGTTGCGGGGTTGCATTTTAAGGTCATCCTGCTCGCGCAACAGGCATATCTGTCGTCAGCTGGCCGACTTGCGGTTCTATCGTGTTGCAATTCTTCCCGGGGTTCACTTTTTTCGTGCGTTTCCGGATGAAGTTTTGTTCGGGTTCAGCAGGTTGTGCTGTGCAGCTCGAACATCTCTGCTAAACTTGACCCACAAGCTGCGACGGAAAAATGTATGCGTGCGCGCTTCTGTGTGTCATGCGTCTTTTCATATTTTGGATCGTGTTCTTCAGCAACCGCAAGATGCCATAAGTAAAATCATGTCATCACTAGTAGCGTTCTTCCCGTATTCAATCCTGTGATGAAAAAATCTAATTTTTGAAAACCCATATTTGAACTCAAGTACAAAATCTGCGCTGATTTCCGCGTTCCGTTGCAAAAATGTCCGACTTTCCTGAACAAATGAACGCTGGGTTGTAAACATCATTCAATAGATTTTACAACTTGACTAAATTTACTTTAAGGAATATTTGCACCTGGACGTGGATTATTAGCCGAGAGAATTTGCCGACCAGCGGGCTCAACTCAGTTTTTAAACTGGTTTGTTAACTTGATGCGTAAATATTTGAGTACGGGTATTTTGAGTTTAGGAGAAATGTCAGTTACAGGTCTGCAAATTTGTTTCCGATAACATTTTTGAATACCAAACAAGTGTATTGGTTGTTAATGTGATTGCCACGAATTTCAAGGTACTTTTTAAGTCCATGAATCCACTGTTCATGTCGTACCCTTTTAAAAATAATAGGATACAGTATTTCTTAAAAGCATTTCGCATAAAATTTCCAGATTTGCTGAACCAGACTGAAAAAGCTCGTATGAATACCTTATTTTGAAAAATAACCCTTCAAATTGCTCGAAGTATCCTTGGTTGCTGCGGAATGATATCGTTTGATTCAATTTTTTGAGAATTGGTATTTTAAGTCATGTGAAACTCTTCCCGTTTCCCAGATGTGTATCATTGTTTGCAAGTGGCACTTGTTGATTTGGCCGGCGACTTCTGTGAAGTTGTCAGCATGAAGAGCGATGTTAGAAGTGAGCCCGAGTCCTGCGTCACCCCCCTTCGTCCCTGCCCTTTGACCCTACCCTGACCCAACCTCAACCATGTCTCCGTCGTCGGGAGAGCTATGGGGCTGCACCTTCATGCCCCAGGTGCTCGTCATCGACTTCCTGTTGCCGAATGGGATTCTGATTCCATTGCCGATTGTGCGTGACTCGCCTTTGTCAATGGTCAAGGAGACGTTGTGGGATGCGGCGAGAGCCATGCCGAAGTACGAGATTCTGCAGGATAAGTCGGTGTACGTCTTCGAGGCTGTCATTCAGAATGCCGAGCGAGAGGAGTTGTTTGACGAGTCCCGACGTATATGCGACCTCAAGCTCTTCGTGGCCATGCTTCGCATCGTCGTCCCGAAGGGAGACAAAGTGGAAAAGATGATTGACGCCGAAATTAGTGAGTCGATTGTGATATCGTACCTCATATTTATCGATCTTAGGTCGCAATTTTCCCCGAAGCGGCTTACGAGTCTTATACATTTGACTCCTTCAAGTCGAACTTCAAGAAACCAACTAACAAATTCGAGTTAGAGAGGTTTCGGGTCAGGGTAACACAAGTTATCTTTGGAAAAAGAAAAGAATTACTGTACTGTACTGTACTGGAAATCGTAATTGGTGATATCCTGTTCCTTCAATTGCTTTTTGAATGGATTTACAGGATGCTAAGTTGATGGAAAGGCGTATTTGCCCAAATAGTCTTTCACTTCCTCGCAAAACGCATCATAATTCATATTTTTTGTGCAAATGAAGTAATAGCCGAGAGGCCTCCAGAAAATTCAGATTATGGATGTTTGAGGGGAAAGTCTTCTGTGTTAAGAAAGTTTTTAATGCATTGTTTCTGAGAGAATTAAGACAGGGACTCTAAAAAAAATTAGACTTAAAGTGGTTTGAGTTATCAAGGTTCAACTGAAGTACAGTACAGTACAGTATTTGCTATGTTCGTGTATAGGCCCCACTCACTGCAAAAATGCAGTCTATATTTGATGTGACTGATTTTTTTTATGACTAATATTGAAAGATGGAACGAACAAAATCTCGAGGTTGTGAAAATACTGTTGTAAAAAATTGAGCGTTGTTCACCAGGCAGCTCGTTGACGTTAATTCCAAAAAGCAAAATAATCTTCCGTGTTTTGGGAATTTTTTTCTCACGAACAGGGTAAAATTCCAGTTTTTTTTCATGTTTAGGTCACATATTTCCACCAATAATTTTACTTCTTCCGGATTTTTTTTATCTTGATTTTTTTTAAATAGAACCTTGAAACCAGAATAAAATCCCATCCGATGTGCTTTGGATATGCCGAGGCCAGATCTAAGAAAATTGAATTCTTTGTCATAGGTTTGTAAATTGTAATTTATATTTGAATGACTGGGATATCGGTTAGAAATCGAAGAGAACAGTGAACTTATAATGCAGTAGTAGATTTTTGTCTGGTTGTTCTTCTTTTACTCTGTTGATCACCGTGGTCCTATAAAATGTTCGTAATCATTAATTCATCATTCATTTTTATTTAAAGGCATAGCGATTGGGAGAGAAGTGATCCGATTGGAGCAGTTGCAAGCTGCGGATAACGAGGTGTACGAATTTCGACGTTCTTTGGCTGTTTCCTGTATTGAAGTATCTCATGTGCGGTCGACATTGGGTAGCATTTCAAACTCCTCTGTTTGTTCTCCCGAGCTTGCGTCATCTCCCGAATTGCCACCTGAGCTGGATTCAAAACTCGACAGAGGTTTGTTCTGAATTTTTGAGAAATGTGTGGATTTCCAACATGTGTCCCCATCATTGATCTTCATCTAGGAATGATACGAATACGTGTTTGGCTTATGTGGGAAACCGAAGGCAAGCAAAGCTACACCATTGCTGTGTCCAAGGATGTCTTCCCTGAATCATTGATCGCACAGGTTGTTGTAAAGAAAACGAAGAGCTTGAGATTGACGAAGGAGAAACTGAACGAAATCATTGAAGAACACCAGACCACATTCGTTCTTAAAATTTGCGGCGTTGAAGAGTACTTGTTTCTCAATAAGCATCCGATATCGCAGTACAAGGTAATCTCGTGTATGTTCTGTCGATCTCTGAGCGAAAAAAAAACATATTTCTTTATAATTATTCTTCGAAGTGCATACGTCGGTTGATAGCTCGTGGCAAAACACCTGAAATTGCCTTGGTCCATCGGAAAGAAGTCCACGTGGATTGTGAGAACAGCCGATTTCACGTTCCATCCTATGTAAAGCGAGCTCCACCCCCCAAAATTGGTGAAACCCAGTGTTTATGGGATATGAACGAGAAGATGCGCGTTCGAGTTATGTCCGCCACATATGTCAATGTGAAGGAATCTGAACAGGTAATTGCCTTGTAATTTTTAGGCTGATTATGTTTCTACTTCTAATTATTGAAGCCGTTTTCAACGCTACATTTTGCCCAAGCAGACTTCCGTCTTCTTCAACAACTTTTTAACTAAAGTGAGATCAGTGGCAGCAGTCATTTTTGCGTACCTACTTTTGCGAAGGTCTACGATATGAACTGCATTCGACTTCCTGTTCAGTGGAAGGTTTTCTCCAGAATGATAGAATTGGCGAATTGCAGAGAAATTTTTCTCGTTTCTGCTAAAAAAAGAGATGGCTTCATGAAACTGTCTTGTGGGATGTTAAGACAAAATTGAAAGATCTTGGCGTGAGGAGAGAATTGACGGGCTAAAAAATGGTTTCATCTACGGTTTTTCTAGGAAGCGAATTATTTGTAAGGGGTTATTTATTATTTATACATTTTCTTTTCTTAAGACTCACTGCTGACGTTAAAAGTTATCGCTAACGATTTAATTTTTTTTAATTTGGGGTATGGTGATGTAGTTGGAAAAATTTGTCAAGTGTTGCAGCTTTTGATGAGTCAGTAGAAGATTTATCTTATGGGTTTTTATTGTGTCTGAATCTGAAAAGTTGTAAGCTGAAATTATTGTTGTGATTGCTATAATTGAAGTCGTATTGCCTATGGATGTCGGGAACGCATAATGGTTTTCAGGTGATTGGCATGAACAGAAATCGGCCAAGTTCTTCAATGTTCAATTCATCGTTTTTGACCAAGATAACGGAAGTTTTCTTAACAAGTCCGTTGGGTTTCTTTTGTTTTTTTTTGAGTTGACCAATTTGTTGTTGTTGTTACTTACATTTTTTAGCTCTATGTGAAGCTTGGATTGTACAATGGGCCAGAGTCCTTGGGTGCAGAACGAGACACAGCCCGTGTGCAGTCTCGGCCGCATTGGGACGAAATGGTCGAATTCGACATTGACCTTGAGAATATTCCGCGATGCGCCCAATTATGCGTCGCCATTTGCGCAGTTTCGCGCAGGTCCAAGAAACGGGAGGACCAGTGCCTCGTTGCTTGGGGCAACGTGCAAATTTTCGATCACCGCAGCATCATGATCTCTGGAACCCTGTCTCTCAACCTTTGGCCGTCTCCACGCGGTGTTCAAGCCGAATTACTCATACCGTTGGGAGTGAAAGGTTCAAACCCGAACCGGGATTCGCCGTGTTTGACCCTCGAATTCGAGCGCCACGGAGTGGCGATCATGTTTCCTGATGATTCGGTTTTGCTGGCTTTGGGGGAGCACTTGTTGAAGACGGAAGCTAAGCAACGGGCCAAGGATGGGAAAGAAAACACGAAGCAGGAGAACCAAGTGCTGGTTAAGCAGTTCCAGGAGATAGCTAGGAGAGATCCGTTGACGCAGTTATCGGAGCAAGATCAGGAGACGTTGTGGCAGTCGAGAAATCAGTGCTACGTCGTACCGGACATCCTTCCGAGATTGCTTGACTCGTTGAAATGGAACAGCAAGGGGGAAGTTGCTCAGGTTTGTTGAATTTTGCCTATTTGTTTTCACAATGGACCGTTTTGCCGAGATTGAACGTTGACGCCTTGGAAAATTGAACAATTCAAGCTTCATTACGAAAATCTTCCCTTCTCGTAGCTCAGATGGGGATCGAATGACTCGTGAGACATTGGGTAAAGGTACATCAAGGAATTTATTGCCAAGTTATATTCCTAATTGATTATGAGCCGCATGTTTTACTCTTTATTGCAGGTACAGCAAATATTCGAAATTGCCCATATTATGTACGTTCTCTACGACGAAATTCTCTCTAAAAAAATGTGCTTGTCCCCTGAATTTTGTCCTAGAGTCCACATGCAGTTGAGGTTCAGGTTATTTTCCAGAAAAAATAGCGTAGCGTTACTTTTATTAGTATCGAAGTGTTCCTTGGTGGAAGTGAAGTTTTCCTAATGATTGATATTCATATTTCTAGCTGTATATTGTTCTGAAAGAATGGCCCCCGGTGTCACCAGAAACGGCACTTGAATTGCTGGACTGCAAGTACGTGGATTTGAACGTACGAAAATGTGCCGTGCATTGGCTAGATCGGTCCCTAACCGACGACAAATTAAATCAGGTTAGTTTTCGGCGTTACGTTACACAAACAATGAGACTATTTGCGTGGTTGTTCAAAACTTCGATCATCTCAGAAGAAGTGAAGTTCTTCCATACTTCCTTTACATCGCTAGCTTAGGTGTTCAAGGCACGGCAACATCGTTGAATTCGACGCGAAGCAAACATTTTATGGCTTTCCTTGAATAAGGGATCCACCAGCTGAAAAAAATATCAGAATCTCATTACGCATGGTTTCGTTTTGAAAAGAAAAAATTGTGCGAGTATCGCTCCTGGAATTTTTTAATCTGCCCACGTGTTTCAAATATTTGTATGCATCAATTCGTTTTGAAACGCTTACCTTCCAAAAGGTAAATAAGAAGCTTAAAAATACGTGAATGCATCAGATTCAATTTCCGGTGGTCAACTTAACGGATTTCAAAAGAAAATCTTCGGGCAAATACATTTTTTATTTGCACTGTATTTTCCGACAGTATTTGCTCCAACTTGTTCAGACCCTGAAACATGAGTCATATTTGGACAATCCGTTGTCGCATTTTCTTCTGAAGAGGGCGTTGCTGAACAGACGCATCGGACACTATTTTTTCTGGCATCTTAGGTGAGTTACAGTATTTTTTATTCAATTTTTATGCTTTTGAATTGTGAATTACCCATTGCTTTGTTGCAGATCCGAGATGCATTTACCATCGGTAAATTTGAGGTTTAGTTTGCTTCTGGAGGCATTTTGTAGAGGAGTGTGCAATTTGCGGAATATTTTTATTCAACAAGTAAAAGCTTTGGACAAGCTTGTGTGCCTTACTGACGACTTCAAAAAGCATCTAACGGAGAGCGCAAAGGTATGAACTAATTTTTTGTTGTCGCAAAAAATTCCGCATGCTCTGCATTCCATTAGAAAATTGAGCTACTTTTTTGTTAATTTAGTCCAAGTGGACACCATTACCGAGAAATGTTCGTCTATGACTTCCACCTTGAATTTCACAATATCTCAGTGGTGTCCTCGCATCGTAGAACACCGACATCTTCAACACTAATTCTGGCCTGTGATTAAAAAAGTCACTTAAGTTTGATAATTTCGTATTGCTTTATAGACTTGAAAAATTACTTTTTTAAAATCATGATTTTCATGCGACTGAGGAAGGGACTTGAATCGTTTCAGGAAATTGAGAAATTGATGGCAGAGAAGGTATCTCAAAGTGATTACATGGAAGCACTGCAGTTTTTACCATCGCCACTGGACGCAACCTCTATGTTGGGTGGCCTTGAAATCGCAGCATGCAGGGTTATGGACTCATCCAAGAAGCCTTTATGGCTACAATGGACTAATCCGGACCCGATGTCTAACGCCATCTTCCGGCCAAAGCAGTTGTTGATTTTCAAAAATGGAGATGGTTTGTCAAACAACGTTTTAATTTTTAGTTCTAGTTTGCAAACGGGGACGGTTTTTTCCCCCGCTTGTGAAAGACGAATTACTTTGATGTTCAGCTGTGGCTTTTTTTCGTATATTCTAGATCTTCGTCAGGACATGCTTACCCTGCAAGTGATCCGGATAATGGATGATATATGGAGAGATGAAGGCATGGATTTAAGAATGTTGCCGTACTCATGTCTCGCTACCGGTCGGCAAGTTGGTCTGATTGAGGTCGTGCAGCGGGTTAGTTTCTCTTTTGCGATCACTCAAAGCTCTTGCTTTATTTCCTTATCTTTTGATGGAAAAGAGGATTTTATTTGTCGAAGTGACGCGAGAATTGAAGCCAACGTGCATTAAATTTTGGCGATAATCAAAGCAACGTGTCCTAACAAAATGTATGAGAATTTTTTTTAGGTAACGGGGGTTTTGAAGTGGATTAAATACCCCATTTCTGCAAAAATGGGACATGTTTTTAAAGTAAGCCGATGTTCAATGCTGAAACAACTTTTTACATAAGCCCTATCCCAGAAATGGGATTTAATTTTGATAATTTTGTTTAGCATTTGATCAAAATTTTGTACAGCAATGTACTGTATTTCGATCCAGCGTATCAGTGGTATTGGTTCGGTTAGAAACTTAGAATTGGAGTCGCGACAAATTTTCGGGTATTCGCACTATCATCTTCTGAGTCGTCGCCATGTCATAATCGGATATATTGTTTCCCAATTCAACAACTAAAACAAAACATGCCTAAAAATAATCTTTCAATGCATTCTTCTGAGTAAATCTGATGGTACAAGAAAACAAAGCATTGTCTTTATTCCTAAAAAATCGATACTTTGCAGAATATCTGCAAAGAATCGCCTTCCACCAGTTTTACTAAAATGAACGAATTCATGGCTATGTAGTTGGACATTTTACACGGTACTGTCCAAAATGCCCCGTTTATCTACTTTTCTATGTAATCGGTGTCGGAGCTGTCCAAGATGTAAACGTTTGAAATAGCCTTCGAAGAGTCCTGGTTTTCTTATTCCAAGCACAAGTTATTGAAAACTGCGATAATAATCTAGAAATTTCAGAAAAAAAAATTGAAGTTTAAGAACTATTTCTTGCTTATTTAATTCTCTCGGTAAGGCGAAGACGGTGTATGCAATCCAGCGACAGCAGTCGAAGCTTGCTGCGATTCAGGTTGATTCTACGTCTCTGAATAAGTGGATTCGCGAGAAGAACCAAAAACCGGAAGAGTACGAGAAAGCCGTTGAAGTATTTACTCATTCTTGTGCCGGGTACTGCGTTGCTACGTTTGTACTTGGGATTGGAGACAGGAATCCCGATAACATCATGGTAAACGAAGATGGGCAGATTTTTCACATAGATTTTGGACACTTCTTGGGGCATTTCAAGAAAAAATTCGGCATCTCGAGAGAAAGAGTGCCATTCGTGCTCACGGATGATTTCATTTGCGTGATAGCAAAAGGATCAAGTGATGCTGGAAAGAGTGAAGAGTTTGAGAGGTGAGCATGTGACAGCTTTACTTGACAAATGCTCTAGTTCGTCTAGTTTGAAATGAGCAACTTACTCCTGTGTTTAATATCATTATTTATGCAGATTTCAAGAACTCTGTGGAAGAGCATATCTCGCTTTGAGAAGACATGCAAACCTTCTGATTACGCTTTTTACAATGATGCTTTCGTCCGAGATTCCTGAGTTACAGGTGAGATTCCGAACGACAGATAGTGCATTTGTAGCATGCCCAAAAAGTGGGTAGGGAACTAAGTACAATGCAATAATCGATCTGAATATTTTTAATTCTTCCACTTTTATAGTGTTCTTTTAATTTTATAAATTCTAATTTTATAATTCTAATAGTAGATGTCACGATTTCATGTAATTTATCACTGTCATGCCAGGTTCTGTATGTTCATCGTGTATTATCCTCATTTCAAGGATAAATTACCAATATTCCGATCAAATTATGAGGACCATTTCTTCCTATTTCACGATTTAGCCTCCAATATTGTATTACAGTTCTGCGTGCGTTTCATCCAAGAATTTTAGAAGTAGCCAGGAAAACCGACGTCAAATCCGATCTTCAATCAATAATTTCTTTATTTTAAAATTATTCTGTGATAACATCTGTAGAAATTTTGCTTGTACAGCAGTGACAAGCAACATTTTCAGTGACTTCAGATTACTCTCTAAAAAACAGAAGCTTTTTTTAACGCTTTTTTCTGCTTAATTGTTTTCTAGGTACTGTATATAACCAGTTCACTCTTGGTGCATCACAAAGCACACTAGGTGCATGGCAGTAAAAAGCCCAGAGTGAAAGGTAGAATCCCTTTGTGCAACAAATCTCCACGAATGTTTTCAAGCGTCAGACAAATTCATCTGATTTTATGTTTCACGCTAGTCAATGAATGACATTGCGTACCTGAGAAAAACGCTGGCCGTGGAAATAGGCGACGAAGAGGCACTGATGTATTTCCAGAATCAGCTCAACTATGCCTACGGAGGAGGATGGACGACAAAACTGGACTGGTTTTTTCACAGTGTAAAGCACATGTGAATGGGGTACGTGTTGAAACCACTCCGGGAAAAGCCCTATTTTCGGGCCAGATTCTTGCTTCTTCCGAGTGACGCGAGCGGAAACAAAAAAGCGATCAAAATTTTTTTTTTTCTAGGAGAGATTATTTAAAATGTCATCTAATTGGAAAAAGTTTAAAAAAGCCTTGAGTGAGCACCAACAAGTCTGATTATTCGCTTACATTCCTTCTTGGGTTCCTCACAGATGAATCCGAGGAAAATTACGCTTAATATTTGTATCCCTTGAATATCAAACTGAGAAAATATGCTCAATTGCAACGGAACATTATTAATACTGATGATTTTTCTTGAAACTGAGGCTTTTTAGCAGAACAGTTCCTATCGTTTCTGGATTTGCAGGTCGTATTTTCTTTCCTGAAGTCAAATGCCGGAAAAATGATTCTGTTGGCTAATCTAGTCATTGGTACAAACAGAAAATGAAAGAGACCGCGTTGCTTTTTGTTGTTGTTGGGCATGATGTCGCTTTCATTTATTGCCAAAAATTAATTTGGATGCTAGCAGGACTTCGATTAAAATGGGTTGTATGGAAGTTCAAAAAAAAATCTGGATGAAAGTTTGATGGATCGCTGTGATCCGGGCTTGTGGGGTTTTTGAAGCTTTGCGGTCACTCGGAAGATATCAAGGCTGGAATCTGCGTTTTTCGCATTGGCTTCCAAGTCACGCGTCTGTGAGTTGAATTCTCGTAAAATAGCTGCATCGTGTGTGAAAAAAAAATGTAATTGTTGATAACTGATAATGTGCACCGCGTTCTTGAGATGCTCACGGAAAATTGTCGCAGAATGGTGATCAATCGCTGTGGTTCATTTTCTAGTCCGGGAAATTCTTGCTTAAAACAATCCCGACGTTCATCAGAACCCGAAACGGTGTTTCTTTTTTTCCGTCGGATTGAAAAGCTGGGAAAGGGCCACGTGGAAGATCTCCGTCACCCTGAAAAAATGATAAAATATCCTGCAAATGTTCGCCAATGTTATTTTTTCTTCGTGGGGCAAATATTTTTTTTTTCTCTACGTTGATCATTTCGTGGAATCTTTGGTGATCAGACAGAATTCCCCGAGTCTGAGTTTGAACCAGTCTTGGTTGCCCATGTGCTTGCGATTATTCGCGATTTGTTCATTTGTTCAAAATTCATGATGCCTGTTTTTTTCTGGTATGTTGCACGTATTAATTCTGAAATGGATCTCGTGAGATATTTGCGCCAACGGCTGATCATCTAACCGAGTCTTCTCGATTTTGAAAACATTTGTCCGAGTAAAGCTGTGCCATAATTGCCTTTTTGTGTAATACTGTATTTACCGTAGACCGTAGCTTGTGTGGCACTAATTTCATTTTCCTACTTTTTTCCGTTATTGTTAATCTAAAGCAAACGCAATGATTTGTGAATTATTCGGAATCTCAACGTTTCCGATAAAGTGAATGATATTTTGGAAGTACAGGGATTGAAAACCCATGTCGAAGACCGATGATTCCAATGATAAAAAATGGATGTCTTTGGCTATTTCATCCTATCTATAAATCTGAAATTGGTAAGAAATGTGAATTGATTCTGCAAAGACGATTAAAAACTGGATGTTTACGATGTTACCGTACGCACGATGAAGACGCAAAACAAACTTGAAGAAGAGAAATACAGCAGGGTTTATACTGGCAATGGCTGCTTCCGGCAACCAACCTCGACGCAGAGTATACGCATTTGTTTATAATTCAGGGATTTTGTGGAGAAAAGAAACGAAAATTATTGACCAAACGGAAGAACCGTCAGCTGCGTCGCAGCGATCTCGGGAGAATTTGCTTTATGTCGTTTGTGCTTTTACTTGCATGATTTATCTTTTTTACGACGCTTACGGCGTCGTCGGGGCTTCCACAATCGAGCCTCGATGAGAAACTAAAAGGAGGCTACAGAGTTCATTTGTTTTCATTGTGCGAGAAGAGCTTTGACTGAATTACCAGCCGCGGTTGGCGACCCAGGCAGTTGTTTCTTGTGCATCGATTTTTTTATTACTGTACTCTGCGGAGTTGACATCTGTCGTTCGCATTTCTTGGGGCTTGTTTTTTTTCTGAAAGATTTCCTGACTTGGTGTGAACACGACCAGATTTGTTTGTTTTCAACTTTTTCAGTGATGAAGAATATTTTGGACAAGCTGTCGGAGAGAAGATTATTTTTTAATCGTTGTGTCGTTCGTTACGTCAGTATTGCAGTTTTTAACCAATATTTCTGTGCCGTTTTGTAGGCTGAAATTGGAGTGTGTGGGTTTTTTTTTAACTTCTCGTCGGCGCGTGTTTGATCGAAATATCGGAATGGACCCGCAGGTGGCGAAGATTTTAGAGGATGCCTGTTCTAGGGTTCGTGTTCCTGCCGGAGGAGATAAAATCCACAAGGATGAGTGCGTGTACTCATTCGACACTCCAGTTAGTAGACACATTATACTTTTATAGTGAGAGGATCTCTTCAAAGTGTTGCAAATAATCATAAAATCTGTATTTTAATGTTGATATTTGATAGATTTGGAGAATTTTGTTCCTCCTGTTGAGGATCGCGTTAATTTTACATATTTAGCCTCACTTTTTGTTTTTCTTTTCCCTTTTTTTTTCCTTTACTTCATAGGAATCACCTACCGGTCTGTACCTGTGCCTGAGAACATTTCTAGGCTTTGGTGAATCCTTCGTCGAGCAACACTTCACCAGAACAGGAAGCAATGTTTACCTTCATTTGCGGAGGATGAAATATTTGGTACAGTTTTGAAATGTGTAATGCGAGATATACTGAATTTCTCAATTTGTAATTGTGGATTTTTCCATTCGCAAATACTCAAGTGTAATATTTTAAAGGTTGAACCGGACGTTGAGGCCGATCCTCCGGAGAAAAAGGTGACCAAGATGGCGATCGGAATTGAAGGTGGATTTCACGCAGGGAAAAGTCCGAAAGTGGAATATAAGGAACAACACTCTCTCGTAGTTATGCCTGGATTGAAGAGAATCCCATTACCAAATGATGACATTCCTGATAAGGTTGGTGAATAAACTCAACGAAAAAAAAATCTTTTTTCTATCTACTTAGGTATAGCAGATCTTTGATTTCGTCTTCGTGTTTTCAAAAAATTTTCCTGGCTTCCTTTTTTTTCTGTCCATGTAGTATTTTCAAGTTTGGTATGTTCATATTGTTCCAGCTTCGTGACGTTGTCAAGAAGGCGTTAGAAATGGAGTCCGCATCCAAGCTGTCGGAACTGGAAGCACTCGCTGGCACCTGGGATGGAGAAGCTCGTCAAATTTCAAAGTCTGTATCATTTAATTGAAGTATGTACTGTAGTTGACTGACGTGATTTTTCATTTGTTGACCTATTAGAAATGCAGAGAATTTGACGCAGTTGGATAATGGCATTCGGATCCCGCCCAGTGGGTGGAAGTGCGAGAAATGCGACAAGACGGAGAATCTGTGGTTGAACCTTACAGACGGGTCTATTCTTTGCGGGAGAAAATTTTTCGATGGCAGCGGAGGAAATAATCATGCTGTTGAGCACTATGAACAGTCCCGTAAGTCTTTCTTAGGCTTGAAAAGTTCACCCAAAAATCGGGAATTTTTTTTTGCCCACCAAAGATTGACATTTTTCATAATTTTTCAAAGCCATCGAAGTTTTACGCGTGATCTAAAGGCAATTTTCCAATTTTTAGGTCACCCCTTGGCCGTCAAGCTTGGAACGATCACTTCAGATTCAAAAGCCGACGTTTTCGATTACCAACTGGATGATATGGTAGAAGATCCTTGGCTTGCAAAGCACTTGGCTCATTTCGGCATCAACATTCATAGCATGGAAAAGGTGAGATTTTGCCTTCCCGCCGAACTGGAAATGTGATGGAGATTTCTCGGACGCGTGTCGAACATCCAGGTTTACCGACTGTTATCGTTTATCGCTGTCTATGCATAAGTATACATGTTTTGGTCTGAAATTCATTTCACTTCGCCGCATAAATAGACCGAGAAAACCATGACGGAACTGGAGATCGAGATAAATCAGAAGATGGAATGGAGCGTGCTCACGGAAAGTGGAGCTGATCTGAAACCCTTGTATGGTCCTGGTTACACTGGGCTGCAAAATCTGGGAAACTCTTGTTATCTAAGCTCCGTCATGCAAGTTGTGTTCACCATTCCAGAATTTCTGGCCAAGTACGGATTCTGAAACATTATAAGGATGACTATTTATTGGCATTCTTTTTTATGTTTTACAGGTTTGTGGAGCAATCGAATGACATATTTGCGCGTGGAAGCGTTGATCCATTTGACGATTTCAACGTTCAGATGTAAGCGACCGTTCGGGAATTTTTATTTTATCTTTGAATGTCAGTCTAAAATTCCTTTTATGAAATGTTCGTGAGTACCTGTATATCTAAATTCTAAAGGACTCAAAAAAGAACAATTTCGAGTGATTGCGTGTGCAACCACTCATCGTCATTGTCTCTGACTTCAATTGTTCTATGTGCATGATTTCCTTCGGTTGATATTCAGTGGCCTGAACTTGATTTTGAATTGATTAATGGCAGGGCAAAATTGGGCACGGGAATGTCTTCGGGGAGGTATTCTGTACCACTTCGGGACACTTTAACGGACGCCGGGAAAGGAAACGGTGGGCCGGATTTTGAAAAGAAGCTGGACGAAATGAAGTGGCAACAAGGCATTCCTCCACGTTCATTTAAAGCATTGATTGGGAAAGGCCATCCAGAGTTTTCAACGAAGCATCAGCAGGATGCGTCGGAATTTGTTCTGCATCTTATCAATCTCGTCGAAGTTAGTATTAGCCATCTTTTTTTATACTAGCTGATTTTGTCTGACCGAAACTTCCGAATTCTCCAACTCATTTCAAATATGGAAGAAATTCACGTTCTTGACTTTTTTGTGTGGCACAAAACAGCGTCACAGCAGGATCCCGACGAATCCGGCGGATTGCTTTAAATTCAAGGTGGAAGACAGAGTTCAGTGCCAGGCCTCAGGCAAGGTCTCTTATAAGTACAGGACAGAGTACTTGTTGCCACTTTCAGTTCCAATGAGTGCTGCGTGGAACAAGGAAGAGGTTGCGGCTTACGAAAGCAAGAAAGCCGAATACGAACAAAAAAAGATGTGCATGTGCGTTATTTTGTTCATATTTTGGATGTCTCTCCCGCTCTTTATTAAAAAGTAACATTTCTTTGTGAAGGGACCCAAGCCTTGTGGTTCGTCCAGCAATTCGTGTGGAAGATTGTCTTTCGAGCTTCGTAGCTTCGGAAAGGGTGGATCGGTTTTTCTCAACTGCCATTCAAAACTACACATCAGCTGAAAAGTTAGTTCAATTTTATTTTATTGAAAGGTATTTTAGTCGAGTCACGTGTATTTTCCCAGAACGACGCGATTGACGACATTCCCGAGATATTTGTTCATTCAACTGAAGAAATTTTCTCTGGCACCGGATTGGACCCCGATTAAGCTAGACGTGTCCGTTGGAATGCCAGATGAGCTAAATTTGGAGGCCTTGCGTGGCTTTGGGCTTCGAAAAGGCGAAGAAAAACTGCCGGAAGCCAAGTCGAAGCCAAAAGGTTGGATTCCTGATGTCCATTCGCACTTTTCGTCTTTTGAATCCCCGATTGCATTCCCTTCATAATTTTCTGTAATGCAGTACAATACATTACAGTACTGTATGCATCTCGCAAGGATCAAGCTACATTTCAAGTTTTAAGTTGGGTTATGTTGTGTTAATTGAGTCAGTTGTCTCAGGTAAGTTATAAGGTCATGGAAGGTCGTTAGGTTATTTTTTAGGTCAAGTGATTCAGGCGAGGTATGAAATTTCATAGAGTAAGGCCGGGTTTTGAGAAAATGCAAATTTTTTGTATAGAAACTTACATTTGTTGAAATCCTTCCCTTTTTCGGTGAGAAATTTCAATTGACGGTTTTAGAAGCATGGTTGTCGTTTCGCGTCTTCTGCTAAAATTACGAGAATTTCTGTTCTTTCATGGTTTTAGCCTTTTTGAAATTTTGGCCCTTTAGTCCAAAAGATGGGCTTTTTTCAGACGTCTGAAAAAAAACCAACATTTTTGAATTCTTGTTTTTTGTTTGATAGTCGATTTGAATGAAGAACACATCCAACACCTGGTGTCTATGGGTTTCCCCATGGAAGCATGTAAAAAAGCCGTGTATCATACCGGTAATCAGGGTGTCGAAGCAGCCATGAACTGGGTTATGGAACACATGGCTGACGACGACTTCGGCTCCCCGTTTGTCATCCCAGGCACCGAATCATCTGCTGGTGAGGCTTAGTTCTTGTTCGAAAAGAAAATATAAAAATTTTGAGTGTTGGAAAAAATCCTTCAAAATGTGTCTTTATTCATATTTTTCAGACGAGTTTGTACCCGAGGCGAATGCCATGATGATGCTGACGTCGATGGGTTTTACGGATGATCAAGCAAAGCTTGCGTTGAAATCGACGAACAACAATTTGGAACGCGCGGCCGATTGGATATTTTCTCATCGTGATGAGCTTGAAGCCTTGGTAGCTGCTGCGAAAGGTGAAGCCGCAAAGGGGCGTGTTGCCGAACCTACTTTTGACGATGGACCACCCAGTGAGTTTCATTTATAATTTTTTTCTGGCTCATTTCGCATGGTTGCTCGACCTTGCTATCTGGAATGCTGGACAGATTGTCGCTTAAATCGGTAAGCGTAACAGATCCATCTCATGCAATCAGACTGTCGTGCCGGACAAAAGCGTATTCCTTGTCGAGTTGTCCTATTTATTATGCTTATAAAGTTATAATTAATTACTGTACCTGCATGAGTAAATGCTGTATGCACAAATTCAGTGTAAATACGCAGTCGAACCCCGTTAAGACGCCCCTCAATAAAGTGCCACACTTGGCAACCGCCAAAATTTTGTGTTAAACAGATCTCATTGTTAAATAGCCTAGGTTTAGATTAAACCTCGATAAGACACCAACCGCTATCTGCCGACATTGATGATGAAAGAAAAGAAGTTTGTTCGGTATTAGTTTTATCTGTGTTGCAACACTAACACTGCGGCACAATTATAATTTTTGTCTCGGATGTTGCCCCTTGACGGAAAAAAGATGAAAATGTTTATTGTTTTGAATAATTTTAAAAATTGATGGACCTAATTTTAAATTTTTTAAATCTTTGATGAAATTAAATTTATTTTCCGGAAGAGGAATCCATGTATTTTATCAGAGCAATTCTCTGGAAAATTTCTGAAGTTTCTAGTGAACGTGTATCTTTGCTATTTTTGGATGAAAATCGTGTAATTGTAATCTAATACTGCAATTTCAAATGAACTATTCGATAAACCGCAAAAATCTCCCTGGATAAATGGAGGCTTATTTATGAGGTTTGACTGTATAAATGTTTACAGTACATACATTATTTATATTTATTTGCAGACTATAAGTTGGTGGCTTTCATATCCCACATGGGTTCGTCGGCATTCGTCGGTCACTACGTTTGTCACATCTTCAAAGAAGGGCGCTGGGTGATCTTCAACGACGAGAAGGTCGCCGTTTCGGAGCACCCACCAAAAGATCTCGGCTACTTGTATTTGTACGAGCGCTCGTGACGTGCTTGCGCGAAAAGAAAAAGGCTTGGATTTCCGCGAAAGGTGATCTTAGCGGTTTGATCTTCTGTGAATCCGTATCAGTCGAGTCTGTGCGTGCTTACGGTCGTAACATGATTTCAGAAACCCTGTCTGCTCCGTCGTGGCGGAGATTTCTTCTGGCGGGAAAATGGAAAAAATACACTGCATCTGCCAGAAGTTTATTCATTTCCTGTGATTTTATTAATTTATCTTTATGGTTAGTAATGTTTGTGAGTCCTCTAAGTTATTTGCGAGTAAGTTTTATTTCTCAACTTCCTGATTGAGATTCCGAAGATTTTCCCGATTTTATACAATTTCCCGGCTCAGAGTTGAGACATGTAGCAAGAAGACGAAACAGATCTAGTAAATACTTCCTTTTCAAATGAATAGAGGAAACCTTTTTTTCATGAAAGGAGCGTTCGCTTTCGGCAGTCCGAGTTCAAACTCAATCCAATTTGGCAACGGGGATGTCATGATATTTCACCTCAAATAATTCTTGCTGTTGAAATTTGGATGCATGAACTTGAAAAGTTTTCAGGAAATAGTCGACAGTCGCAATGACGAAAATTGGAAGTGTCGAGATTTTTGTTGATTGGTTTACGGAAGCACTCCACTGAGCCTTTAATCTATACAATCCGAGAAATGTTGTTGAATACCTTTCTTTCGAGTGCTAATGGGGATTTTCCGTATGCTTTTGTCCCAGAAGGAACCTCTTGACAATTTTGATCTTCATCATGAGCTCTGTATGAAATCAGATTTGGTGTGCATTCATGACTTATACAGTCCAGTACATTGATGAAGCCAGTAAAGGTCTGTTGAAGAAACGTGACTTATTTGCACCAAAACCGATAATTTATTTGCACCAAAGCCAGTAAAGGTCTGTTGAAGAAACGTGACTTATTTGCACCAGAACCGATAATTTATCCATTTGATGCTGAGTTACGTCGTATTACAAGACTTTTCTTGGATACAATGGTCGTCGTGTTGATCCTTTTGCTTCTGTGCACCACGTCTTTGGCTTGGAATCCTACCATGTGTTCGAGAAATTACTTAAGCGATAAACCACTCCGTGAGGCATAAAAAAAAAGATTTCAAACTGAATATTCATGACAGACCTTTTCTTATGCAGGATGCTATGCTTGCAAGAGTGAGGACGCTTTTATAAGGCACGATTCGAGCGATTCGGAAATTTATTCTTGCGAGAGCAACCTCGGATTTGTTACAACATGCGATGTTGGTGAGGCCTGCGAAACTACTTTCAAACGAGGTGATTGTCATTTGAGTTTTTCTGATCAGTAAAGTTATCATAGTCGATTCCGCGAAATCAGGTAAAACAAGTCTTCGTGTTAATAAAGACAGTTGAACGTTGATAATTCGTATCTCCCCAAGTCGCATTTTTTCCGATTCTCTGTCTAAATTCCGTTAGAAACATTAAAAAATCATTAAATTAATCATTAAAAAACCTTTCTAATTGAAGGCTTTTCTGCTAAAACCTTTGTAAATAAAATTTTCTGAGGCCTTTTGGATATTATTTTCTTGACACAGGAAAGAGAAAAGCAATAAAATTCTAGCTTGATTTTTTTTCAAAGAAAGTGAATAACTAATTGGGCAAATGAAATCCTGCCTCCAAGTTCAGCATCCTGGCAACTCATTCAAGAAGCAATTTGAGGCCCAGAATATCACCATGTACAATTTCTTGCAATTCTTCTGTGTTTCCCACAAAAAATTCTTGTCTCCCTTTTGCAAAACCTCCTTGAGTTGAATTTTTTGCTGGTTCCTTGAAATTTGACTCAGGGAGGTTAGACTACAGTACTGTATATTCATCCATAATTGTGAAAGAAAATAAAGCAATATTTAGGATGCTTGCAAAAAGTATTTTGGTGGTTGAAGATTGTCAGCTATTCCTTTTAGCAGTTTTAGGAAATGGTGAAACAACACTCAAAAATTTAGTTTTCCACATGAGGAATATTTATCGCCACAAAAAGAATATGAGAAGGAATTCATGAAGTGCTGACATTGATTTTAGTTACTTGTTCTTCATTGAAAAATACGAAAAAATTTCTTTCTTTTACTTTTGCCATTCATTGTTTACAAAAATGGCCAGGCCACTTTCAACCATCATGTCAGTACACCTTGGGAGTGTTTTTGTGACATTGTGGTCAGCCAAACATTGGAGGAGCACTAAAAAACTCAAAGCTATAGAATTATATCCCAGTCATTTAGCTCATATTTTTTAAAACTATTTGACTTGACAAGAGGCTTGATTTCAGATTATGTGAGCTGAAAATCAAAACCCTCTCCTTTACTCTCATCTCAAATATTTTCCGATGTTCGCTGCATCTTAAATTCTTAAAGCTAATCACGATAAATTAATATCGACCCCATTTCAATAATAAATGAATAGAGAACTCAAATTGGTTCATTTTCCAGGCCGTTTTACCAAGAGCCATTGATGGTTTTCCGAGTTAGTATGTACTGTACAGAATATATTTATTGAAGCACCTCGAAGCATAAAATTAAAGCTTGAGAATATGTTTTTCCGTATACTGTATGCGACTTATTTTTCCTCTGCTGAGAGAGCATTAGTAAAATCAGAATGTTATTATGTGCTGTACTTATCTTTTTTCATCGGGAGTTTCATGGCCAAATGTGAATCACCCGATACTTGCCCCATATTATCATCATTTTATTCATTTTTCCTTTGAAGAAAGACAATCTTTTTGTTAGATTTAGAGAAGCCATTTCAAGTTTTAATGTAATTTAATTTTATTTATGGTCGTAAATGCTACGCAGAGATGAGTGAATTTAAATTAATTTCTTGAATTCTGCCATTGCCCTTTTCAATATAGATAAAGTTTTCTACCGCGGATGTCACATGCCATCTCTATCTCGCTTGCGTAATAATAATGAGACCCAGCAGAACTATCTTATGGATCGACGTAAAAAGGAATTTGCCGATGACATCAACTCTGCTGAAATTTTTGCGTGCGTGGAGGAGAGAAACGTGTTGGAGAAGCACGTCGTCATTTTGCATTGTCCATGCACTTGCGACTTATGCAATGATTTCACGGGCAAGTTGTATTATGCAGTGTCCACCGGGATTAGCATGCAGTGAGTCACTCATCGAAGTTATATTTTGGCAATAATGCCGAGGTTATTAAATTATTTTTTGAGGTTGTACACATGTGACTGTAAGACACCCATGTATTCTTTCAGGTGTTTCGCGTCCGTTATTGTACCGATTGCAATGGCTTATGGCTTTCTTCATCTTGACCATCTTTGACCTGGACGAGTGTTGAAATTACATTTTAAGCTTCAGTTTCTCTCTTCTCAGCAGATGCGTCGTTTTTTCTCAAGCGCTAATTTTGGGTTTGGATTACATAACTTCAGGCCATTTCGCTGAACGAGCCTGCTGCTTATATGCTGTTTCTGTCTGATCAAATTTTATTGCAAATATATGATGTGTAATGTGCTGCTGCTGTATTTGTGAAAAAATGCTGAAGAAAGAAATTCGGACCTGAACCATCTGCACTGGAATTAATTGTCTTATCTGCCTTCGAATACAATATTAAAACAGTCGTATATATTAGACAGTTCAGAAAATGTTATCAATTAATGCACTAAATCTCACTATAAGGTACAGTAGTTGAATTTGTTGAAGGCAATCTTATACATTCTTATATGCTGTATGTAATTTCGCATATTTCAATTTACGTATTTACTGCGTACCTGTAAAAAATAAAAACACTGGCTTCCAGAAATTTCTGCTATATATAAACTGGACCAACATTTTAGAACATCTGGTCCTGAATATATGCACATATTTATTTTAATAATACCGTCCACAGCAAGGGCTTTGGAAATGTGGATCCTGCAGCTATAGCTTTTGGTTTGATGTGTGTAAGAATGCTGAAGTTTTTAATGAGCAGTATACTGCATATGCGAGGAAATCATGTTGAATGCTTAAACTACAGAACTCAGGCCATTTTCCTATCCGATTTTTCTGTTCCCTTTAAATTCGACTTAAATGTGAGGTTCGATTATAACTGACGCTGCTGTAAGTGCTGCTGGTGATTATATACGCATGCCAATGATTATAAAATATATATTTGCAGTTGAAGGGAACCCGCTGACTTCAGAAAAGTTTCAGAAATTCCCGCAAATATTCATGGTAGAAAACGGATGCTACGTTTTCTGCCGAAGAAAGAGGGAATATTTTGCTTAGAGAAATGGTCAGGACGAGTCTCATTTTTATCCATTCTGACCGAGGGGATGATGCAGATGCAGTACAAGTACTGTACAATACACTGTATTCAGCACAAAACCAACCTGCGGGCACCCTCAAAGATCGGCTCGCTCAGGATCCGCTGCCCACCTCCCGGTGCTCGCGCCCCGCCCCCAGTCTTCCCGGCAAGAAGCTAGAGGGAGCTGAAGGCAGCTTATCACACATGGCGGCTACCGTCAATTCTGATGTTTTTCAAACATCCCTGCTCGCAGTAAAAATTTGGGTTTGTATTTTCCGTGAATCCTTGTATCTCAAATCCTGCAGAGATTATGTTGTACAGTATTTTGCGTTTTATTTATTTCAGTTTATGGAAGTGACTGGTCTTTTTTCATGTGTGTGCATGGTTGATTCCGGTCAAGTCAAGAATATTATTTGTCGTGGTTTGAAGATCCAGCCCTACCGAAGCATTCTTTGGGAACACATGATACAACTATCAGACAAACGTGCTTTGTTGAAGAAACTACTTCAGAATTCCGATGAAGAGTATGACAGGGACTCATGGAAAAATGATCTCATCATTCCATGCGTCCTTTTTTTCTCACTCCTTGGGAAGGTTGGCATGTCAAAGCTTCTAACCTTTCCTTAAAGGGGGAGGGCTGACAGCATTGACCATATTGTTTGGTGCTGCCCATAATTTATCTGGTGCTGGGTGTGCCAGATGAAGAAAACATTTTTTCAGGAAAAAGAATCCATACTGTTCACCTGTTGAGCAGAAGAAAGCATTATTTTGCAAATGTTGAAGATGAATCTAAGTGCAATTAATGTTGAATGAAATAGAATCTAATAGGCAACAAATTACAAATTTTCCTGTGCCACAATATGACAGATTAAAAAAATATTGAAGATGGAAAAATTACAGGACTTGTTGCCTCTTGAGAGTTTGTAATTTTCAAGTTTTCAGGTTATCAACAAAATGGCTTGGATGTTGTGGCTTGGACAATAGATTATTCCTAAGACTGATTTTGTAAATTGGTATAAATTGAAAAAAAGGTATTTCCAACTTTCCATGCAGCTTCCATAAGACAAAAACCTGTTGATAACACAAAATGGAAACAAATGAAATGGTGCTTATTAATCATTAACTCTTCAATTTATTAACTGCTGAAAATTCAAAGGCAATTTTGAGATTTTTTCTGAAATTATGCCAATGTCAAGCCCTAACAAATGTATTAATTTAATCATATGATGTGTAAATAATTTGCTGAATCCAGAATTTCTGAAATTTTTCATCAACAGAGCAAGATTGCTTCAAGCCAAGCATTTGAGGAGCGCAGCACATCATTGTCATTCCAAAGATAAATTAGGTTTTTTACAAGCGGTTTTTTACAGTTATTACAAGCGGAGCGCAACCTCAACAAATTCAACTCGTTTCAGCTGGAAATGCTTCAACTAAAAGTTTTTCGATTCCCTCCAGTAATGCGGAAACGCTTGCAACTCTTACGCAGTCCGGCATTTTGGTCTTGGATTCACCGTGCGATGGAAGGTTGCTGACCAAATTGCTTCTCTGTCTCATGTGTCTGACAAAGCTGTTTATTGTGAGATCAGTACTCCAAACGGTTTTAGATTCTCGAAGAATTGTTTTGACTTGGTTGAAAACCAAAAGTTCCTCAGGTGTACAGCACTTCGCTTCAGCCGGACGTACAGTAATTTTAAAATTAAATTCTTTGTGGGTGTTGGTTGATCGTGCGTGTGTATTCGTTTGCCAAGTGGACCGGACAGAATGCGTTCAGTGTATGTATTGAATCCTGAAATAAATATCTGCCATGAACCACTGGATTCATGATTGGAGTGGATTTCAAATGGTATAGTTATCGATGCAAATCTATCATCCTACACACTTGAACAAATACGGAGGGATTCTCTTTGCACCAAGCGTGATTTTTGACATTTTTGAAATATTAATTTATATTTAATCTGGAAACTTGACTTCTTGGAAAGCATGGACAGTCATTCTAAATTCAGATGATGGAATTCTCAATGACTTACCTAAGCATCAGAAAATGTTGATTGAAAAAAATATAGATCTTAAAAAGCTTTTGTTTAGCTTTTTAAATTCTAATGTTTTGCACATTTGAGTACAGTACATTATTTTTTTATCTTCAACATAACTTTAATTGTGGCTTTGCCTTAGCCTCATTCATGCTTCTTTCCTTCAGTGTCCCAGTTGTATGGTTCTAAGAACGTGCGTGATTAGAAAACCATTGAATGGAAATCCCAACTAATTAATCCTTCACAGGTAGAAAAAGGTCTCTTTGTTGGACTCATAATGCAATTCATAAAAATAAATTGTCACTTGAAGCTGATCAATCACTATACTGTACGGTACAAGAACATAATTTTCCAAGTACTGCAGAGCTAAACCTCACAAGATGTAATTGACCATGCCAGCATTTAAAATTTTATAAGCGGAAACAAAATGGCTCACCAATTCTCAGGTGTAACGATCTTCATCTGGGTGAGTATGAAGTAGGAGGATGCACACAGGTTCACTACATTTTTGTCAGATAAAAAACCGGAACTTGACCCAAATCAAGCCAAAAAAAAACCCTGACACGGGAAAAATAGCACTTTTCAAAGAATGTTCAACGGTTTCTTACAAAAAGTTCACTTTTATTCTCGAATCTCCTCTTCCAAAAGTTACACTTCAAAAGGAAAGAAAATAATAAAAGACGGGGTTCAAGGAAGCTTGAGGTCAAAACCCACGGGCAAAACGTTCTTTCTCTTTTTCAGTCGGGGGGAAAAATGAAATTTTTTCGTTTTGTTTCGCAAAAAAAAAAACCGTTAGAAGAGAGGAAAAAAAAAAAACTCCACATCGCTGATCGTTCATCACCAGCGGTCTCTACGAGCATTCTCCAGAAATCAGAACTCATTCCTCACTACTTTCTTTTTTCCTCGCCCAGGCCCCTGCAGCGGCGGATTTCTCCCCAAAACACGATTCGTTTCTCGCGGCCATTACTTTTTTTTTTCATTTTGAGAATCCGAGACCTTTGATCTTCCTTTACCCTCATGCAGCATCGAGCACTCACCGGACGTTCCGCCAAAAGAATTTTACCGGCACTTCGTTTTTCTTCATTTTTTGTTTGTTTGTTTGGAGAGACAACCGACCCGCAAAAGCAATGGGAACAGAACAGGGTGAAAAACTGTGTGGAGGAAGCAAGATCGCGGAGATTGGCAGCTCACCGAAGACCCACTCGCGCACGGACTCAGACCAAAATTATTTTCTAAAAAATCCGCTCCCGATCAAAACCCTCACACGCCGCGTCTCGCCCACCCCCTGAACAGAATGCCACTTGCTCAGTTCCAACATCAATCAAAAACGAAAAAAAGATCAACATTCCAAATGGCTCCCCCACAAGCACTGAAGCCCACAATCAATCGCTCAGTCCATCCATTCAGCGCCCCAAGAAAAAAAAAAAAACCTCCGCCCTGCTGCACGAATTTTTTCCAAAGCGAAACAAAAATTTTCAAGGATCAAAAAACACTTGGGCTTTATGTACACTGCCAGGAATGAAATCAAACCGGAAACTAGGAATTTGTTTCTCTCTTTTGACAGGAAGCTTGCCACAGCAGTAGCAGCAGCTCTTCTACCTCGCAAAGCTCCCCAACAAAACGCTGGTAACCAGGGAACAACAGCTCTTCTTGAACGTCCCTTCATATTTCTCCCACCAGCTCCTCTCCCCGTCATCATTCCAGTTTCTCACTCGTCAAAAAAGTTGCAGGGGGGCCACAAGAAACAAAAAGGGGGGTTCAACAATTTCTCAGGGCATTATTTACACATCAAACTCTCACTCTCTCTCTAGAAAAAAGGCGTTCCAGACATCCACACGCGAAAGAAAGAGGAAAACCGTCACACACGCACATCTCTCCAACTGTACAGCAAATAGAAAATAAATAAACTTCTCTCAAAAAGAAAAAATCCGCTCATCCCACAAAAATCAAGACCAAAAAGCAAAAATTTTCTTTCCTTCACCAAAAAATCCCTCGCTCTCTCACGTTCCCCGCCAACTCCAGTTTGTCCCGTTTTCAGGGAATTTCTTTTTTTTCCATTTCACTTCAACAGAAAAACCACCGGCACATTACTAATCCCAGGATTCGCTACGCTCCAGATAGAACAGAGGCTTGAGAGTCCTGCCTGACAAAAACTTCACCAATCTACTCCTTCCCAATCTAAGCAGGAGGCAGTCAAGTCCTCATAGAAGAGAAGATGCGACAAAGGCAGATCCAAACCTACAGCAATCCATATTCCCAACAACAGAGAAGGGCGCGTATTTACAGGAAAGAAAAAAACAAAACCCCGGAGATGTCAAAATGACGGATAAGAGGACGCTTCCAGCAG